AATTTTTCCAAATTGACTTATTAAATGAATTCAATTAACTTATTAAGCTGCTCCTTGAAATCCTGAGGTCCTGTTTGAAGGGTGAATGGGATACAGGAAGCACTCTCGAGCTAGGTGATTTGGAGACGTAGGAGTGACCAGGCTCATGCCTTGGCCTTTGATGCCATGGGCGAGGCCTGACACCTTGGTCATCTTGTTGGATGGAGAAGACCCAAAGCAGCTGAGAAAGCTGATGTTGTGTCTCTCCTGTTGATAGAATGAATCTGTACCTCCTGACATTTTGCAGAGGGCAAGACCATTTTGAAGAGGAACAAATGATGGTTTTCTTTCACTTAATTGCAAACCACCTGAGAAGAGGATGTCCGTGATCTGGTTAAGTGGTTGTCACTGAGTACCTGTGAAGCCTGGCGGTGTTCGTTAACAGGGGTGTGGGGTGTGGGGGTGAGGGTGTTTACCTCCCCCAGATCTGATTGGAGAGACAGACCTGTAGAGAAGCAACTCTGCAAGGTGGTGGGTGGTGAGGGGTTTAAGGAGAGTTTGGAGCAAGCATTTACTTCAGTTATGCCTGCAACACTTTTTGGTGCTGGAGAAAGACAGGCTTGAGTTAGGACTGGGGAAGGGTGCAGAATTAACGGCAGGCCTCTGTGGACAAGTGGGGTGTCCGAGGTAGAGGAGGAGGGTGTTCCCAGCAGAGGGGCAGCTTCTGGAGCACCTGGGAGGGAGAGGGATGGGGCAGGGTGCGTGGGGTGTGGTGAGATCGCACGGCAGGTTGAAGTCAGGTGGCCCAGGGCCTGGAAGGCTGAGCTGCAGCGTTTAGCCCTCTTCAGACAGCCCAAGGCCAGGTGCAGTGTTGTGGAGGGAGGCTTCAGGAAAGCCACTCTGGTGCTGGAGGCAAGAGGAGAGAGTCTGTGGGCCTCACAGATGGGTGGAGGAGAGTTGGCCAGGCAGTTGTGGGGGGGCAGCCTGGAAGGGAGGACACGGGGTCCCAGGGCAGTTTACGGTGCCACCTTGAGCTTGCGAAAACTCTGCTGTAGGCCCCAGGGTTTCCATCTGCAAGGTGGATGATGGGCTGCTGGTGGACTTTCCATGTGAGAAGGGTCCAGTAGGCTTTTGTTTTGCCCTAAGGGGAGTTCCATGTCATCAAATACTTCAGCTGCACCGATTGAGAAGGCTGTACCATTTTTATCCTCTACTCTGTGAACATGATCAATTACATTGATTGGTTTTTGAATATTAAACTAAATTTTTGTTTCTGGAATTTTCCTTGTGAGGGGGAAACTTCATTAGCAGGTGTTTCAGACCTGGGTGGCCCTTGGTGAATGCACAGGCATATTTGCCTGTCAGAGATCCCCAGACTGGATGTTGTGATTTTCAGGGAGCCATCAGGAGGGCCGTCCGAGGCTCTGAGGGGGCTGTTCCTGTTTTGAACTAAGTGCTGGGAAAAGGCTCTGCAGGGATGTGGGACCCTGGCCTTCATCCAGGCTGACCGTGGCTCTGCACAGTGTCCCATTGGCTGCTTGTAGATGGGTAGATTCTGAGCTGCTAGAAACCCTGATTGAGGGAAACAGAACAAATCTCTAACCACCTCCTTGAATTAGTCTGAACATGCAAAGCTTGTAACTCCCTCCATGGTCCATGAAATATACTTTGTGAATGTCAGCAAATGCTGTTATTTACTATCATTGTGATCATTACCATCAACATCACAATCATCACAGTCATTATCACCATCACCATTATCATCATCATCACTTCTACCATTATCATTACCACTGTCATCATCATCACCACCATCACCATCACCATCATCACCAGCATTACCACCATCATCACCACTATTACCATCATCACCACCATCATCACCATCATAACCATCATTACCACCATCATCACCACTATTACCATTATCACCACCATCACCATCACCACCATTATCACCATCAGCATCATTAGCATCATTGCCATCACCATCATCACCATCATCACCACCATCACCACCATCATCACCATCAACATCACCATCATCACCATCACCATCACCATCACCATCATCACCACCATTACCATCAACACCACATCATCACCATCACCTCACCATCATCACCACCATATCCATCATTATCACCTTAACATCTTAACCATCATCATGTCTTAACCATCGTCACTAACATCTTAACCATCATCGTATCTTCACCACAAAGAAACAGTCAAGCCCTTTTTGAGGAAACAGTCATCACCAGCAGCAGCATTTGTGGTGCCCCTGGAGTTGTATCAGCAGCAGGGGCAACAACCTCAACTCTAGCGTCATTCCGTCAGCATGACGAGCGGCACTGATGCAGATGGAATTCTTCCTCCCTTCCTTATGGACAGGAGTCCTAGTTCTCTTCTGACATCACTGGACAGCTGTTTTAGGGTGATCAGGAGAGTGAGCAGAGGTGATGGCCTTGTCTTTCTAAACCTCAGATGCTCATAACCTGGATGAGGCAGAGACTAGAGTGATAATTCTTTATTTTTGGAAAAAGATTGTCGCTCTGGGCTGCTGCAGCTGTTTACAAGGAGAGGAAAAGAGCCTGCCAGGAAGGCCCCTCGCGCGGGGCTCGTCTCTGTGCCCTCTCCCACTCCACTTGTCACAGGTAGCATTCAGGCTTCTGCACTGGGCTCTGCTGTCCAAGGTTGAGGTATCCACAGGGATGTATATTAGTAGCAGATAGTGTCCATCTGTAACTGAGCCGGTAAGCAAGGTAACTGGGTTTGAGAGAGAGGGGTGGTCTGCACTCACAGCCTGACCCCCAGAGGCAGGGGCTTGTGGGGGACGCGCACACTGGTCTCTCCAGCCTCTAGAGCTGCTGCATCCCTTGGCTGCTTTCCCCTTTCTTTGTAACACTTTGACCCATTTCCTCTCTGGACTCCATCTCTCCTGCGTCCCACTCGTGAGGACCTTTGTGATTACCTTTCTGGCAATTCCGAAAGGCACATCTTTAGAGGACGTTATTCTGTCTGCCACCCTCTTGTCAAGGACTCTTACATTGTAGTCTCTTGGTTCACCCTTATATCTGGTCATTTAGTTGTTAACTTGAACACAGGGCCAGGGCTGCTTAGCCAGTGCCTCCGCCCTGACCCTGCTGTGAGACCTGGGGCCACATGCACACCCCTCTGGGGCTCTTTTCTCCTCCACTTACAAAATCATGGATCTTGAGGTTCATTTCGTAGCTGAACTTGTGGTTTCTGAATCTGTGTGTGAGATTCCACTGTCCACTTCCGGGATAGGGATGGGATGGGCATTTGAATGTGAACGGCTCGGGAAGGGATGACGTGTGAGCTTCTCAGAGGCACACGTCCAAATGCATTTACGCTTGACCTTCTCATTTTATCTTACTTTATTATTTTTCACATCTGCTTTCCCCTTACCTATAGCAGAATACAAGCTGGTAGGCATGCTGGTAGGGGTGGTGGGCGTGTTATGGTTCCTGTGTGTTAAGGATATGGTTATGTTGAACCAGGGAGTCAGCATATGCTCTGGGCTTCCTTTACCTGGCATGGTTATTTCCTGTTAAAGAGTCACCATAAAATGCTAAATAAACTTAATAACTACTAATAACCATCTCTGTCAGTTGAGGACACTTACATTTTATGAATTTGGGGGAAAGATAGGAAACTACCTGAGAAAAATGGATTTTTTAATACATATATGATTTTTTTTTTGAGATTTTTAAAGAATTTTTAAGACCGTGTCCTTGCCTTGACTTTTATAAAAGGACTCTGGAAGCTAAAAAAGTCCTTATAGCAGGAAAAACAAAATACCTACAAATACAAGAACCATCACCATTACTGAAGTATTTTCCGTGCCCCATTGTACCCTTTAAGATGCAAAATGCACCCACAATTCTGAGTTGGGTGTCATGGTCCTTATTTAACAGACTGAGAAACTGGAGATAGATGGGTAGTCACAGGCAGGCGGCCCCCCAGGTGTTCAGAGGTAGGGGGTCTCCTGCTCAACTTGTCAGTCTCTAGAGACTGTGAATGTGGGGCTCCTGGAGGCTGCACAGCCTGCAAGTCTAGCCTGCCTCTGCAGCCCAGGGCAGCTCAGTTCCTTGAGGCCACACCCTGGAGGCTGCGCGGGGTCCTGTCCTCAGAGGTGGAGGCATGCAAAATTGAAAGTCTTGTAAAAATAAGTCTTTTATTTTAGTTGGGGAGACTGGTGCATACAGATCAAGATACGAAGGGGTGAAGTGGGGTGTGTGCTGGGGCTGCTCAGAGGAGCAGAGTTGAAAGAGCAAGCAAATTCAGGGCCTGGTATTGTGGACGAGGTGCACCCTGTGGGCAAGGGAGGTCTGTGCTGGTGCACACAGGGCTGCAGGCTGGCCCCTCTAGGGAAGCGGGCTTGGAAGGGAGGTGAGGGAGGTGTTAGGAGAGGACATGGCATATTCCTCAGGAATAAAAGGGAATGAAGTCCTGATACCAGATTTTACTCAGGGCACCCTTGAGAGCATCATGCCAAGTGACAGAAGTCAGATGCACCGGGCAGATGCTGTGGGGTTCCACTTGTGAGCTGTCAGATTCGTGGGGACCCAAAGTAGATTAGAGGTCGCAGGCTGGGAGGGAGAATGAGGCTTCCGTTGAATGGACATGGGGTTTCTGTTTGGAGAGACGGAAGCGTTTTGGAAACAGGTAGGGGAGATGGTTGTACGACATTGTGAATGTACTTAATGTCACTGGATCGTACATTTAGCAGTGGTTCAAGTGGCAAATTTTGCATCATAATACACTTCGTGCCATTAAAAATAAATGATCCTGGTCGTCTGGTGTGATGGGAGTTAGCAACGTCTCCATACCAGGGCCTTGGCTTGGTGTGGAGGAAGAGGCCCCTTTGTGGGTGTCAGAGAGGATGAGGCGAAGACTGTGATTCAATTTGACAAGCAAACAGCATTAAAAACAAGCACAGATAACCGAGAGTACCTGACCCCTCCTCCATTAACACATTTCCCCCCTTTTCTCCACAGCGTTTTATAACTACGACGCCAGAGGAGCCGATGAGCTTTCTTTGCAGATCGGAGACACGGTGCACATCCTAGAGACCTATGAAGGTGTGTTATTTTGCTGTCTTTTCTCCTGCTGTTTTGGACAGTTGAATCCTTTTTCAGTGCCTATGACCAAATACGTATGTCATCACATTCTGTTTTTGTGATTATTTTTTTTATAGGTGGCTGCTGTTGGGGGTAAAGGTATTGGGGCAGCTCTCCTTTTTAAAATAAGATCAACCTAAAACTAAAAATCCCCATTTTTAACATCTAAAAAAAACCCCATGGGCACCTTAGTTTGCAAGTGGATGTAAATCGTGGCTGTTCATAACCGACCACTTGATTAAAAAAACCAGCTCTAAGATATTTCAGTGTTTGGTCTGTTGCTTTGATGTGTTGGTGTGAACTGTGAAGTTTTAATGCTGTCACTATTTCTCATTCTCTTTCCTTTTTCTTTTTATCTGTGACCCCCACCTTCTCAGGGGTGAGCAGATTGTCACAGCTCTGTGGGATGCAGTCCAGGGAAGCAGTCGTTACAGTCATTCACTAAAGACCCTGTGGTCATAGTGTCTTTCCGTCATCCTTGTTAATTTTCAGGCAGTTGTTTTTCATATTTAGTGTTTTGCAAATTATTTGAGCAGACCATCTTCATTTTATGCTGTGCTTATTATCGCATAGAAGGGAAGAGATGATGGGCTGGCCGTTTTCTTTATTTTTTTGCAGTGCTGGGCTTGGAACCCAGGGCTTCATGCATACTAGGCGAACAGACGCTCTCCCGCTGAGCCCCACCCCCAGCCCTGGGCTTGTTTTTTTTAACCACTGCTGCAATCTGGATGTTAAGATTGTGTTTTCCTGTTGTTGGGTTCATTTTCTGCTTGAAGGGGTGATTCCCATACAGCATGCGAATAAAAAGAACTGATTAAGATGGATCATTTAAATAACCAAATTGCTTTTAGACCAGCTTTAGCTAAACCCTTCCAAATGGGAGAGGGAATCGTAGACATCCCATAGCAATCAACAAATTGAACATCCAGCTCAGTCTTCACAATCCACTTTGCACAAGAATGAGCTGCGCTAGACTTGTGTGTATCAGGTGAGCCGTGCCTGGCTCAGGTGTCCTTGGGGACACCTCTGAGACACACAGATGCATTAAAACAGGCATGGCTGTGGCCCTCTCTCTTTTCCCCTTCTGTTGCGTGCTGACTTAAAACTTACTCTGTTTGCACGTCTTACCCTGAAAGTCCTATCTCAATTTTTTTGTATATGTGTTAGTGGTGTATGGCTGGGAACAGTTGTTGCTCTGCAGAACAGAGCTGTTCCTTAAGTGAATCCGTAGTTGTGAGGGGCACTGGCTGCTTGTTTCCAATGTTGACAGCTGACAGTTGGATTTCCTTATCTATTCTCGGTACATATTGCCTGTGGCTTAGAGGAAACAGAGAAATTAAGTAGAGGTTAGGGATCAACCCTTTCATCTCAGACTGAAGGGAAATGCTCTGATATCTTCTTTAATTTTGCTGCTGGTCAGTTGAACTTGAAATCGTGGGTAATAAACTGGGCTGTGACATTATTCCTGAGTAGTTAACGATTTCCTGCAGGGCCCCGGATGTAGGGACTTCAGTGTCTTGTTCCTTGCTTAGGAACAAGAATGCACTCTTTAAACAGGGCCCTCCTTAGACGTCAGCTGTCCTTGGGATGCACTTCCAGGTCATCTGAGAGTGAGTGGCCTTTGGCTCTTTGGCCGACACCGCGAGGGGCTCTTCACGGAGCCTTCCTCTCAGGCTGGACCAGCCCTCTAAAACATTTCAGTCTTCATAGACTCTGACATGAAATGGATTTCCCTCCCTTGACAGCTAACGGCTTGGTTTTGATCAGTCTGATCAGAGAGATCCATTTAGGGAATTAGATGCAAATTTGAGAAACTTGGTGACGGCGTCAAGTAGAAGTGGACTGGTTATTTCCATTGTTTTCCTCGTGTTCTGTCTACGATTCATGGTCTGTCTTACAGCTTGTTCTCCCAGCCCCTGTAAGAAAAGTTTTCTGCCTTTCTCTGTGATCCCTTCCAGTGGGCCAGGCTTGTTCCCAGGATGTAGCTTCAGATGGCTCCCCCGCAGGGACTTGCTTTCCACGGTCACTCTTTATTAAATAAGGTTCTGAGAACACGTTTGCCTTCAGGTTGTGGTTAATTGCTCTTTCTCAGGCTCCGCCAGGCCTGGAGCCCAGAGCACAGAAAAGACACTGCCAGGCCCCTGTGGAGGGGGAGGAGCTTGCGGCATCCAGGGACAACCTGATGCCAGGTCAAGTGACTCTGGTGTGGCCATGACAGTTCTGCTGTCTGCTCATTTCCATGAGGGTCCCCAGGGGCTGAAGGCCTTACCTGGGGGAAGCTGCAGGCATCACTTATAGAGATCAGGAAATAGTCCTTTTGGTTCAGCCACAACATTAAAATTTTAAAAGTGTTAATGACTATTATATTTTATTCCAAAATGACCTGCTATTTTCCTGTGCTGGACTGTGGCCTCCCTGAGTCCAGGGACTGTGTTTTGCCCAGATTTGCCTGTCTCTTGGGTCAGTCTCTTTTTGACCAGTTGCTTGCCTCGGTGGAGGCTGCTGCAAGCCCTGTGAGTTCTGCTAGCTAAGACTCTCCTACCCCAGCCTCCTCCCTGCTTTGCAAGAAGGAGGTCACAGTGTCCCATCCCCTCATTCTCCAGGTGACATTCTCTCCCTGTCGGACTGACTGCAGTCTTGCAGGCTGGTTTGTGGTTTGGCCCCTGCCTGTCTGAGGGGCTTTCTGGGTCTGAGCTCACGGAGGACAGAGGTTGGGTCCATCCGTTTCTGCGTTTGTGCACCGAGGAAACTTCTGACACACAGTTCAGTTAGATGAGGGAATAATGCTTCAAATACCTGGGGAAGCCAACTGTAGGCCTGCACTTTGCTTAGGAAGCCCATTTAAAAGGAAACTAGCATCTGTTGACATTAAGTGATGCAAGATCCCTCCTTGTCCTCACGGTGTGCTCCCCCTGCCCCTCCAAGAAACAATTTTGCTCTGTTTGAAGGGGTCTTGTTTACCCGAGTCCTCGCCCTATTGGGGGTGTGTTGAGGGTAGATGAACGTAGCCTCAGCTCTCCTTCTGCCTCTAGAAGGGGCTCCCCTCCTCCCAGTGTAGCTCCAGCTGCTTTGCCAACGCCCTCCCAGTCGTGGGTGCTCAGATGGCCGCTCTGCCAGCCGCCCTGGGTCCTGAGCCGTGAACACACCTGTCTGTCCCGCGGATGTCTTTGGGCTGTGTTTCCTGAGGTGGTTGCTGGTCTCCTTCAGTGGGGACCCTCCCTTTAGGTGCACTGGGCCTGCTGCTCCCTTGCTGGCAGCTGTAATCCACATTCCCTGCTGCGTTGTTCTTACCACTCTTGATAACTGTGTAGCAGTGCTTTTTAAAAAAGCTTTTGATTCGTTTTTTTTAATTTTAAATTTTTAAATTTTTTTGGTACCAGAGTTTGAACCCAGGGGCACTCAGCCATTGAACCACATCTCCAGCCCTTTTTATTTTTTATTTTGAGACAGGGTCTTGTTAAGTTGCTTAGGGCCTCGATAAGTTACTGAAGCTGGCCTTGAATTTGTGATCCTCCTGCCTCAGCCTCCTGAGCTGCTGGGATTATAGGCATGCACCACCGCACCCAGCTTAAGTTGTCCTTTCTTGTTAGTGAGTTTGAGCATCTCTCAAATGCGTAAGTCTTTAGGCTTCTTCTTTATGCATTGTTTCTACAATTTGCTCTTATTTTTATTTGGTTGCTGCTTTCTTCTTTCCTCTGTGAAATTTCCTTATCCTTATTAATCCTTTGTCAGTTTCAGAAAACAATGGACATATTAGTGTTGAAATGCAGGAAGGACATAATAACAGGGTAAAGGACAGTCCTCCAAATTGAGCAAATGCAGTTTGAACAGCTCGTTAGGTTCACCTTCTCTCCTCTTGCACTTCGCTGTCTGTGGACACTGTCACTGGTGGCACTGACTCGGGGCTGGGGTATCTGAAACCTCTGGACTCCACTGTGGCTATCAGGAGGTAACCCTTCAGATACGCGCCTGATGTCTGGACACTTACTATCTGCAGTGCCCCCTGCTCAGGCTGGGGTTTCTGTCATTTCTTAATGTTTTGCTTATCTTAATACCATCACTTTTTGGTTCCCAAACCGCCTTCCCCCCTGGTTGTTAAAATTGCTTCTTTTTGAGATGGGGCAGAGGGTAATTGCTGCTGCGTTTGCCTGTTCCCAGATCTGTCTGGGCTTCTCTCTCATGCCTGGACGTCCTTGGTATCTAGGTTTGGCTTTTTGATAATGTATACAACTCGGCGTTTGGTGAATCCCTGTGAATTTACCCAGCTTACACATTTTCCAAGTGTTCTCTGCCACTCTCCAAAGAGGTCCTTTGCCTCCTGTGGGGCAGGGTTGGGTCTGTCTCTGAGCTTTGGGTTTGCTTTCCAGAGGTAAGTTTGCCTGGAGGGACTGCAGAATGTTTGGGTAGGAAAACACCCACCTGACTTCAGGGTATGGTACAGTGGTCAGGAGACGGTTACAGGCCGTGGACCCCTGTCATTTGCAGGGACACACTCCTTCACAGAGTCTGCGGGAGGTACTGGGTGGGGTCAGGTCTGTCTGCTGGTGAAGTGACTGCTTTCAGTGTTTGATATAAATAGGGAGTCCTTCCCTTGTTTACTTTCTCTCTTTCTGGAGAAAAGGGAAATTGAGTCCAGGCAACCCCCAGGGGGTAGGTGGGCCTCTGCTGGACCACACTTCCTGCTGCGACAGTCTGGCCACAGAAGCGCTTTGTGAGATCATGGCTGCCCCAGGGCATGGCTCCTCCTGTGGAGAGGGAGGAAGTTGGTTCTCAATAGGTTTTCTGTGCAGTGCAGCTCTTGATGATCTGAGGGTGCTGGTATGTGCATTTGAACCCTGATTCAAGGCAGGCGGTGGGGAGAAGGGTCAGTGCATACATAAGGAGCCTACTAGGGACTTGTGGCTGAAAGGACAGCTTCCTCTTGGAACTGGGCTCCTTAGCTTCAGCTTGCTGCCCAGGGCAAGGTGAGGCAAGTGGAGATAAAGGTCTGGCCTGCCTACTGGACCTCAGGGCCTTAGGGTGTCGAATTCTGGGCTGATGGCCCTCAGGGAGGTGTCCAACCCTGAGGCTGCTGCTGGCCCGGTGGGTCCTCCTATTACTAACACTCCACTCTGTCTGTGCAGGGTGGTACCGAGGCTACACCTTGAGGAAGAAGTCCAAGAAGGTAAGTCCTTTTCATTATAGGTAGTGCTCGGTGTGGGAGGAAACCAGTTCCATCTCATCTGGGCCTGGGTCGTACTTGCATGTCTTCTTTTCTGAATTTAAACAATACATGGATGGAAAGGTCAGCTACCTTGAATGCTTTCCTCCTGGGCAGCCTGTGGGTGGAGGAATGGCTGATTCCTTTTCTGGGGGAGCTGCTGGGTGGGACCCGGTTGGCCTGTTGTCCTCAGGTAGTGGGAACCCTCTTGTCTTGGTGAGGTTGGCCTCCTGTGTAGGCAGCGCAGGCCAGGGAACGAGCTGAGAGAGCGACTTTGGAGAGACCCAGGCTGCCAGCAGCTTCCGGCCTCACTTCAGCCTCGACAAGGGAGCAGCTTGCGAGGCTCAGGCGGCTTGCCTTTCCTCTTGCACTGGATGATTTGTATACCACTCAGGTTGAGTAACAAAAAGCTGCTTTTTAGGGCTGTTTGCTTGCCCGAGTCTCTGAATATCTGAAACTAAAACATGTAATTAGACCTCAGATCACTCCCAGCCACAATTCCGTGGCTTTAGCATTCTTAGCTTTGCAAAACCTAATTATGGCTCTTCGGTTTGACTCTCTGATGTCGCGATTTTGAAGCACCGTCCATTCGAAGCTGTACTTAGGCGCCCATGCTAACTTATATGTTTTAAGGTCTAATTACATTGGACGATGGTTTGTGCCCTTCTTGGAGTTGGCCTCCCTCATCTCCATCTTGGGCTGGGCTTTCTTCCCACTGTGGTCCTGAGCCTTTAGACAGGTTTTGGAAGTTCTGCTCTGCCTTCCCCGGAGGCCTGAGCCAGGCCATGCTGACCACATCTGAAGCTGCTCATCCTCTCACACCACAGTTACTTGGGAGGGGTGCAGGTTGGTCCTCAGGGCAGCCTTCTCTGGCATACCATGTTTAGGTTCTAACAGAGAGTCACTCGAAGGAGTAGTGGACAGCTGAACCTCCAAATTGGAAGGACCTCTGCACTCGGCCCTGCTGGGCTCAGACTGGGCTGTAAGTGTCCTGAGCCCCAGAGTTGGGAACAAACAGATTTCAACTTTGCGGTAGAAGAGTCTTCAAGGATGTTCTCTTTTCCCATCAATTTCTCTTGTGTTTTGATGGAGGAGTATTCTTGCAGAGGAAACCCTGAGTTTCTTCTGGAGCACCACAGTTGAAGATGGCGGTAATGAAGACCTGAGGATTGGGGACTGACCCCCCCCCCCCCCCCCCCCCCCCCCCCGCCTTGCCCGCACAGAGGACGAAGCTGCAGCCTCCTGTGCTGCCCAGGGACTCTTTGTTTTCCTTGGTGCTTGTGTGGCACTTGGCTTTTGGGACCACCTCACCCAGTTTAGGGTCTCTCCCATTCCCCGGTGCCTCCTGGACCACAGTACTCCTGCACCAGAGCCCTCATTGGCAGAGGAGCAAATGGAAGCCTTGCAGAGCTTTAGTTTTGCCTCATTCCCAGAAGCAGGGAAGGGACGTGGCCCTTAGAAATCTTGACTCTCAGTGTTCTGCAGGCCGGTCCCGAGTGCCCTAGACCAAGTTGCTCATTTTCAACCCCCAGGTGTGCCCAGCCTCATCTGGATGTTGCCCTTCCTCTGGCATCACTACTGGGTGGGTTTGCTGAGACCGAAGGGATCTCTGCCTGTGCACTGCCAGGGCTGGGGGTGGCTCCTTTGCTTTTGTACCCTCATTTGAACACATTGGCATCTTGGAAAGATGTCCCTTTGACCATGCTGGAACTTAGTGGTGTCTGGGATACCTGGGACCTGGCTGGCTCAAGCTGTGTTGGGTCTCTTGGTCCTTCATGTGGCTCGGTCTCTGACTTCTTGCCTGACTCTTTTATTCTTGTGATAACATTTCCTTATATTCAGTCCAGCCACTGTCCCTGTAGGCAGGAGGAGCAGGGAACCCTGGTCAGCCCTTTCTGTGCCCCATGCCCTTCTGATCAAAATTGCCAGTCTGGTTTTGGATCTTGTATTGATTCTTTGGGGGCAGATGCAGGGAGGACCCAGTGAGAAGCTCCTGTTCCTGCCACAGAACACTGACTGGGCTTCTGCTCTGTGCTCCGGATCTCACACAGGAAGTGCTTGCTGGCTTGTGCTGCCCGAGACCCCAGCCCCGTGGCCCCGTTGCACGTCTTCCCCGTGCTCACCTCTGCTCCGCTTCAGCAAGGATCAGGGAGAGGACCACAGCTCTTGATAAAGCTCCTCCTGGCACTTTTCAGACTGTGTCTGACACCAGTGTCCTGTTAAGAAATCACCTCCCTGGTGCCCAGTCCTGTGGGTTGTGTGTGTGTGTTGCACTTTGGAGATGGAGCGTGGTGTACAACATGAGCTAGCATGCTCCCCCGGCTGCTGTGCATATGGGACCATGTTCATTCCCCTTTATTTTACCACTGGTCCCTCTGTTTGGAGATTTTTGAGAAAGTTCCAATGGGTGTAGAGCAGGGGTCAGTGCATAAGTGGCAAGCCATGATATAAACCAAATTCTGATGACAATCTTATTATTTTGAAAGGGGGAAATCTTCCTCAACCATCATCACCAGCTGGCCTTTGGCTTGCCTATGGCAAGATCAGCAGCAGAAAAGGGAGCAACTTATGGAGAAAATGAGAAGTGAAATTTTTCCTTTGCAAACACATTGTCTCTGTTTCTTCTAAGACATCTGTGGACTCTTTGAAATACAAGCTGATTGCGTTGCTGTTTTTCACACTTTGTGTTCTCTCTGATGTGTTGTATGTCAGGCTTAGCATAAAACTTGCAAAATTAATAGTGACCCAGCTATCTGGACCCCCACCTTTGCAGGGCTGTTGTTTGATTTGCATGCACTGTTCATGTTGATAATGAAAACTTTTTTTTTTTCCCTCAAAGGGTATATTTCCTGCTTCATATATTCATCTTAAAGAAGCAATAGTTGAAGGAAAAGGGTGAGTTTTTTCTTGATGTTTAAATGAAGAATTGCAATTACTTGTGGTGCAGCTGCTGAACAGTCAGCTGGGTAGCACTCCGGGGTAAGACCACCTGTATGACTGACGCCAGTAATTCAGGAGTTGAGGGGGCAGAAAGGGAATCCATGATTTAGAGTGCAGTACCATGTTGCTTTGAGCCTTCAGAGTCTGAGGTCACCAGCACAACTGCAGGCCTTCTCCTTGAACCTGGGTCTCTGCTTCCCTGTGAGCTACCCGTTCGGCAGACTCCACAGCCCTGCCCCCTCCCACTCAGCTCGGAGTCCATTTTTTTTGGAAGGGTTAGCATGCTGTAATACAAATGGAGTTTAGGGGGTAGCAGCAGTTGTTAAATTGGGACACGTATGAATTTGCATTTCATCTCATTATGATCTGTGCTTCCTGGAGGTCATCACACTGATGCATACGGTCATTAAAGGGACATTTGTGGAGCAGGAACCCATTCAGAAGGAATGGCAAATGAACAGCCAGGTGTGAATTCGGAAGAAGGAGCATTAAAATGTTTTCTTTTTTTGGTCTCTGCTACATCTTCACACTCAGTTAAATATGTAAATTATAAAATTACTAATCATATGATTACTGCATAATGACATCTCTCTGGCTGATTACAAAATTGCCTTTCCAAGCACTGTACTTTTAACATATGAAAGGGCTGTTCGGGTTCTCTAGTTCCATGATGCATAATTAGAATGAAGAAAATAATTTAGAGGCATGAATGGTGATGACCTGCAATAGGGAGAGTTTTTTTTTCTTTTTTAGAGATAAAATGTTTTGTATGCAAAGTTCTAAGGGGAAGAAAAAGAAAGTTTTGAAATTGTTATATCCTCTTACAGAAATAACTGAATAATGTGGGCATTTAATGTACTTTATACCTGTGTTGAATCCTTGTCAGCTTGATAGATTAATATTTTTTCAAAGCATTCTGATGCCTATAAAGGAATATACGTGAGACGTAATTATGAATCACTCTAATAAAGTGATCAGTCATTGCCTTGATTCTCGCTGAGGGGAGCCACGCCCTCCCAGGCAGGCAGGGGCACTGTGTTCCTCCTGTCCTGGGTCTCCTGGTCTCAGGTGCTCTAGTGAGGTCAGCAGATGGAGATGTGAGATGCGTGGTGTGCAGACCGTTGTCCTGCTGGTGCTTTGCTTCTGGACGCTCCACGCTCCTGACCCGCTGGGCTGTCCACCTGCTCCCTCTGCAAAGGGCCTGGTGTCCTCGGGCTTGCCGGGGTGGTGCCTCCTCTCCTCCTGAAGCTGCAGACATCCACCCTCCCTTCTGTGCTCCCTCCTTCTTCCTGGTGCGGGCCGCTCTCCCCCACTACTGCCCACTGCTGCTGCCTCTGTGCTGTCCAGTTTCAGGCTCCTGTCCCTCTGCAGGCTCTTCTCTGAGGATCTCTGTGGTTGGTGTCTCTTTCTGGCACAGTCCCCGCTGGTTCTCTCTCTTACATGATCTCTCTCTCGCTTGGCCTCTCTCTTCTCTCAGGATATGGCCTTCTTCCACTTTTGGACATCCCAAATGACTGACATATGCCTGCTGTCACCAATTCTTTTTTTCCCCCATAAAACAGCACTTCTCGCTATCCTCTCCCTTTGCACTGTCGTGGTGACCTGTGTGCCCTCACTTCCGGGCCTGGTGTCACTCCAGCGTTGGACACTGTGGCCACCACTCCATGTAATGCCCCGTGGTGGTGCTGAGGGCCTCCTGGCCCCTTTCTGCGGTTCCCCTGACTGCTCCCCGTGCTGCTCCCCCTTCCTTCCCTGCCCGCCGCTGTACGGTGCTGTCCTTGGCCTTCTGGGACTTCTCTGTTGCTTCTTGCTTGTGACATGGCCTCTTGTCCTCACACCTGGTCCCTCAGGCTCAGCTTGGGACCTCCATGCCTAACCTTTCTCTTGATATCTTGCTTTTGTGTAAGAACAAGTGCCCAGGAAGAATCACCACCATTGGCTGAGCATCTGCTCTGCCTCATCCATTTTTAAAAATATTTTCTATTTTGAGTTGACTAATAAAAATTGCATCCAGTTATGATGTACAACATGATGTTTTGAAATATGTATTTGTGATGTAATGGCTGAGTCAGGCGATTAACATGCACTACCTCCCGTTCTTGTTTATTTGTGGTGAGAAGACCTTGGATCTGCTCCCTGGGTCATTTTCCGGTGTAGGAAGTGTCCTTGCTGACTTAGTCACCGGGTTGTATGGCAGAACTCTCGGACGTTCTCCCCACTCCACTAGAAGCCCGTGGCCTTTTGCCAGCCCCTCCCACCGTCCACTCCTGGTGGGCCATTCATTCTCACAGGTGCTCTGCCCTGACCTCTCCTCGGTCTGACCACGCCTATAGGCAGCGTCACTGGGGTTGTGCATTCTGTCCTGTAGGGGTCCTGCTTCCTGGCGGGCACAGCAAGATCAAGTGCACTAGTGTCAGTTGGCACGTTCGCCGAGGGGACATCAGGTGTATGGAAAGGGAGGAAAGAAGCAGGGACCAGAACGGAGACAGGAACCTGGCTCATTAATTGACACCCTGGCCGCAAGGACTTGGTCTGTGTGACTGAGTGCCAGGCTTCCAGTAGTGTGAGAAGAGCCCCCAGACTCTGGCAGCCCAGACGTTGCCAGTGTGTGCCCAGTGGGGCAGACGTCACCCTCCCCTGCAGGCCATGCAAATGGCTCTGTAGACCCTTGAGAACCACATACGTATCAACCTCCCTGGGCCCTTGGTGACAGGCTCAGTGGGGTTGTCTTGGCAGTCACATCTCAGTAGATCTGGTGGTGTCCTGTCACAGGAGGTCCTCAGCTGCAGTGTCGTGTGATGGGGGTGGCCTGGCACACAGCTCCTCCTCATGCATTAGGTCTGGGTCTCCCCATGAGGACAGTATTCCTTTGGGACTCACTGTCTCTTGCTTTGGAAGACCCCCCCCCCCACTAATAAGCCATTGCATGCTGAACCCCAGTCATGAGCCAAGTTAGGTCTCTCCAGAGGCCTGGGCACATAATCAAGGACACGGGGGACCTATGGTAGTGCCCTGAACCTTCCCCCTGACTGGCTTCTGGTCTGTTCAGGATACACAGAGTGCTCCTGGGCCCTGGTACCCTAATATACAAGCCATAGCTTCAGCCCTACCCAGTCCCAGCCTGTGAGCATAGTGCCAGCTCTGAGAACTGCCCAGAAAACGAAGGCTGCTTTGATTGCCAAAAAGAAGATGCAGACGTGGACAGAGTTAGACATAAGCCAAGGGCTATCTTTCAGGGTGGAGGGAAAAGGTAAAAAGCTTGTCAGGCTCGGGACTGGATGGAGTACCCAAGGACATGTGAACGCTGTGACCTGGCTCGCACTTCAACAAGGACAACCGCTTCCTGCATGTCACTCGAGTTTTATGCATGATGGAAATGTGAAACAACCTTAACCCAAACCGCATGCAAGGGCCACGTGGACGGGTGGTAATTTACCGCTTCTCTAAGATAGATGGGGCCGTGCTATGAGTGTGCTCTCCACTTCCAGACCCTCACATTCTGAAGGCTTTTAATGGAGATCATTCTCATTCTTCATCTTGCTTTGACATGCAGGTGGATGGCTGACGTGCAGGAAAATACACGGACACTCTCAGGCTCTGTGCAAACCATGCTTAACGTTCTTGGGTGTATTTATATGTGTGAACAGGTTTGCTGGTATATTGTCTTTCTCTTTGTTTAAATGTTGAACTCGGGCCTGGACTGGGACTTCGTCAGGTACAGCGTACAGTGGTTGATGAACCTTGGAATCAGCCTCTTTTCCTTCTTTCATCCCAGGCAACATGAGACGGTCATCCCGGGTGACCTCCCGCTCATTCAGGAGGTCACCACGACGCTTCGCGAGTGGTCCACCATCTGGAGGCAGCTCTATGTGGTGAGAAGACGTGACATTAAACTTAAAAACCAAGAGTGGTGTTTCTGGACCTTTCTGCATCCTGAGAACCTCAGGGACAGGATCCTACATAGAGAGGGCACAGAAAGCCTCCTGCCCCCTGATCTGACTGCTGTTGGGGGCCGTGTGCCCTTTGATCTGCACACTTGGGGAGCAGTGGGAGGCTATCAAGCGAGGGGCCGTGGACTCCCCCTGCCTCCTGTGCAAAGGGGATGTGGTTGCTCTCCGGCCCTCGGACCAGGCAATCTGAGTTTATGTTACCTCCGAGTTTTTGTTTTGATCAAGAAACTAAAGTCTACTTTGAGACTGAAATAGGTGCTTTTTGATGGATGCCGTAGAGGGTGACTTTAGGTGGTGCCTCTTATTGATTAAGATTTGTCATATTTTTGCGGTGGGGAGTGTTTTGTATTCTATCTTGGTGTGCAGTTGTCCAGTTGTGCTGATCACAGGAGAAGTCTTATTAATGCAGAGGTTGGAGTTCTGGCATCTACATTTCATATTCCCTCAGGGCATTTCTTTGCACACAGATTCATATTTGCAGAAGGTTGGCTTTTGTTAAGCCTGTATTTCTATTCAGAGTGTTGATTTCTCATATGCTAATGTTATTACCACCAAGCAAGCGCTCTGGGAGGAAGTCAGTGCGTTAATTTCTCAGGAACATAGAAAACTTCCTAAAGTCCCACAGCTGCTCCTTGGGCAGCTTGTTGTTCTTGATTATACAGTGGTTTCCTATAAATGCACTGTAATAAGCAGTTGCAGTAATTGTTCATCAAATGTACTCAAAAACCTAAAAGCGTAAAGTTAGCCATGAATGTTTTGTGTAAATCTGAAGCAATTTCATAGTCGGTGTTTCATGTTCAACTTAGCAATTTTTAAACAAAAATATGGCAACAAAATAAACAGGAGTCGGTACTGACTCTTGCGTGAGTGGACCCGGTTCTAGCTGCCCCAGAGTGGGCATTGCTGACCATCACCTTGGTTTCCTTTCACATTTCTAGAGTTTACCTCTGGTGGACTCGCATGGTTCAATTTGTGCAAAGTGAAGCAAAAGATGCTTATACTATTTTTATAAGCATTTTTCTCTCTTCTTTGTGGTTGTAGACAAGTCAGCAAAGTATTAAGGATTTTAGAGAGTTGATAGGACAAGGAGAACTAGTCAGAGGGAAGGGAACACAGTTTACAATAAATTTGGAATTTTGACTATTTAGTTTTCATTTAAGAAATTAAAATTAGATAATGTGAAGAATAGCTCATGAGACATAAGATAGCTCATTAGGTGTCTGGTGGATGGGTGGGTGGTGGGGCCCTTAGAACCTCTTAGAAAGTAGGTCAGGTTCTAGAATCAGTAGGGTTAGTGGTTCAGATAAATGAAGGCATATTTTAAAACACAGCTATGTCCATATTTTAGTTTTTCAAAGGGACCATGGGGATTAAAATATTAAATTAGGCCCCACCAAGACCTCTTTCCATGGAAAGAACCACTGGGTCATTTTTCCTGTGGGTAATCCCTAAGCCCCTTGATGAATTGTAATCCTGCAGTTGCAAATGTTGCTTTTTGTTGTACCATTAATCCTCGCAGAATATATAGAAAGTGTTAAGAAGCATGAATTTTGTGTCTTATTTGCATTTTCCTTTGGGCATAAGTGCTCTGAGAGCTTGTGAATGAGATTTGGTGTCTTGCAGAAGCTCCTGTATGTGTGTGCAGGGCACCAGGGGCCCAGTGCGGCTCAGCTGATGGACAGGCCTGGGGGTCCAATTCCTCAGGGTGCTGGGAAGGGCCCAGGGTGCAGGGCATTCTGAAGAGTATGCAGTACTCAGCGGGAGTGTGGAGCTGTAGATCCAGGGTCATTCAGAGGGAGCTTTCTGCCTCGCCCATCCACTGCCCCCGGTAGCTTGAGGTCATTGTCCAGTTCCTGCTGGCTAGCCTCTTGACCCAGTGGTACCTACTCAGGAATGTTGGGTGAAATCTTGGGGCTTGTGCATTCCTTCTTATTTTTTAACATTTAATTTCTATAGGGATCAAATTCTATATGATATGCTCCATTTCATGCTAAAAACACTTTTTAATTTAACATTAATAGATCCCATGTTGTATTTGAAAAAATTTCCATGGAATATGATCTCCAGAATGTTATTTTGTACCCAGAATGCTATGGTTCACCTTATTTTTTCCCATGTAGCAAGATAACAGGGAGATGTTCCGCAGCGTTCGGCACATGATCTATGACCTTATTGAGTGGCGATCACAGATTCTTTCTGGAACTCTGCCCCAGGATGAGCTCAAAGAACTGAAGAAGAAAGTCACCGCCAAAATTGATTATGGAAACAGGTTTGTTTGTTTGAAAGATGATTTCATGCTTAAATTACCCAATATAATAGCATAACCATAAGCCTTGAGAACACCAAAATTACATTTTATCATGAAGCAAAATTTCTAACATCCGAATCATGGCATGGTTTTCATTTAGAAAAGAATGAAGTATTTTCTGTTAGATTCTGAAAGTCAGTAGTGTGCTGAGTCATCCTTGAAACTGTTCTCTCCATTCCCCCACTGGAGGGGCAAAGGAGCTGAGAAGCCTATCACTATTCTGGCGAGACCCCAGTGATTTCTCCAACATGCAAGTTTTACTCTTGGCTTAGTATCTGACTTTGTGTCCAGAAGTGAGGGGACCTCGTGCAATAAGAAGCACCCTGTGTCCTGTGGTTCTGAGGGCAGGGATGGACGTTAGGGTGCCTTGTTCCCTGGGGAAGCATGCCCACTTTCACAAACAGAAATGTGACCCTGCTGGGTTTGAATTCAGGTGAACACAGATAATTGCTTCTTTTACAGAGGGGTTCTGTGGGAGCTCTGTCTGTGCCAGGTACACTTGAATGGCTTTAGCAGTGACTGCTCAGGACCCTCAGAGAGCATGTGCTGGTGGTAGCAAGAGTCCTCAGCTGCTGCCAGGTGCAGGGCTGCTGGGATCCTAATTCTCAAGGTCTGTAAGCAGAATGAGGCTGTGTCCTTTCCCACCTGATAACTATTTTGTTGTTTATGTAATGTCAAAGCTACAGAAAGTCTTTAAAATGCTCTGGTCACCTGGTTCCCAAGTGCTTTTCATATCTGCATTGCTTGGAGAGGTTCTGAAAAGAGAATCCCGGGACTTGTTCCTTAAGATTCTGTTTTCTGATGTCTGCGTTATTGTCTGAGTGTGTCTGATGTGTGTCTGAGTGTGCACTATGTCTGTGGCTGTAGTGTCTGTGTGTACATTTGTTGTCCTTGGCTCTGTGTCTGAGTGTACATGGTCCATGACCTTTATTGCATTCTCAAATGGCTCCCAGAACCCCTTTCTACTAGGATTAAAGAAAAAAAAGGTCAAAACATCTAAGTGATGAATGAAAAAGGCACAGAACACGCAGCGCTGTTAGATGCAGCCATCTTAGACTCCAGCACCAATGCGTGGGGCTAGGAAAATTGAGCAGGGCACTGGGCGCTGGAGGAATCATGGAGCAGCCTGGTGGCCCTGGTGGCAAGAACCTCTCTTATTATATGTCCTATCAATGTAGTAAATTACAGTTGGAAATATTTTCTTTCTTAACTAGCTTGTTCCATGACACAACACATTCAGGTAGCTTCCCGCAGCTAAATTAAGTGGGTGGTCTCTGAACAGAAGTTCAAAATATAATACTCCAATAGAAAACGAGATCAAAGCTCCAAAAGTTTGCTTTATTAAGCAGGTGATCTTAAAATGGGTTTCACTACAACAACATGTAATATTCTATACCCAGAAGTCTCTGGCCTCCTGGGGAAAAAAATAAACAAAAGTGAAACACCTTCTTCTGTAACATTTCTAACCCAAATCCTGTCTCTTGCTCATAATGAGGCTTTAAGAAACTTTTCACACTTGGAAGTAGGAATTCCTAGAAACAAAATAGGGTGATATTTGAGATTTCACAAGAAGGTCTGGTCTGCCGAGAGCTCTTCTCACTTGGCTGGCAGGAGGCTCACCCTCCCCTGCTCTCATGGCTACATTTTCATGTGCAAAACAAAGGGGGGGGGGGGGCAAGCCAGACACCCTCCCACTGCTGTCAGCACGGTCCACTCCACTTTCACCCTCCTCCTCAAGACCCCCTGGGTCTCGGCAGTCAGTCTCTAAGGGTCAGGTCACCTTGCCATGGTGAGATGCACCTTCTAACAGAGACTCACTCTGCATTCAGAACCAGGTGTGCATGGCTTGCTGAGAACAGGTGTCGGATGGTGTGGTGTGACAGCCCACATCACGTGACGGCTTCTGGGGGGCATTCTGAAAGAGCATGGGCTCTGCCAGGAAGGGGCCCCCATGCAGAGTCCCAGCTGTGGCTCCTCTAGGTGCTTACTGTTGGACAGGGTAATAATTTCCCAGAGCCCCTGTCTCCTCTGAGGTGGGTCTGGCCTGGTCTTCTGGCAGGGCAGGACTTAGGTGAGGACCACGTGGCAGGATATGCTCAGCAGGCTGGCCCAGGGCCTGAGCCTCATGCCCTCATGCCCTTCTCCAGGGGGCCTAATTCTGGGGCTGGGCCTGCAGAAGCCGGGGCTGTGTAGCTGCACTCGCAGGAGAAATGTCCTTGCTCGCATAGCCCTGACTGGGTGCACACAGCTGACCCCACCCATTCAAATCAGCATTGACTCTGCCCACACCAGCACTGACCCCACCCACTCTCACCAGCCTTGACTCTGTCCACACTAGTACTGACCCCACCCACACAAGAGCTGACCCCACCCACTCACCAGCCTTGACCCCACCCATACCAGCCCACCCATACCAGCACTGACTCTGCACACCTTCACTAGCACTGACTCCACCCACATAGTACTGACCTGCCCATGGTAGCACTGACCCCTGTATTGACCCTGCCCACACCAGCAAGGACTTCTAGTTGGCAGGGTCAGAGCTAGAGTGAGTAGTTGTATTTGGGAGGGAGGGGCTTTGCCTCACTAGTGAAACATTAAAAAGAGCCATCAGGCCTAACAAGGCTTTTAAAAAATGTCTGTTTGTTCCTTGCAACTACTAAGGCTGATTTTCTGCTGTGCAAAAACTGGTGACTCTTTATTTAAAAGCCTGATGACCCTCATGCCACTGTCAGGCCCAGTAGGTCCTGTTTCCCCATCAGTAGAATTTTCTCAATGGATAGGAAAAGGAAAAAATGAGGCCTTTGCAGTTGGCTTCCAAATGGTGCAGTGGCCCAGCCTGACACTAAAATTGAGCACATGTGACCTGTCGGCAGGCTGTCCTCGGCTTTAAGGCCTGTGACCTCCAGAGAAGCCCTGGGTTAGCTTGTCTGTGGAGCGTCCGCTGGCGGATCAGCTTCCCTTTTAAAGCTGTAGCCCATCGAGCTGCTTTCTGACTGCAGCCTTTCCTTCTCTCAGAAGGCTCTCCTTGCTCTGTCATGGGGTATTCAAAAAGAACTTGCTCCCATAGACCTGTCAAAGGAGGACTAAATCCCACCTGCAGAGCTCCGGTGGGACAGCCATGGCTAATTTCCTGCCCCAAGACTCGCTCGTCTCATTGCAACGAACGCTAGAACACGCCACCCGGGCACAGCTCTTTTGATTTCTTTTGTGCTGTACAATTGCCTTTGTTTATTCTTTAAGGTAAAATCTTTGGTAATGATCACCTAACGGTTTCATTGGATTTGAGGAATCAGAGCAAATGTTGCCAAAAAACATCTCCAGGTAGAGGGGACAGATTTATTAGCCAGATGTTGCTTGTGTTTTAAGTTGGCCACTATGTTTGCCATCTGGCCAGGAGTTGGTTCATGTTCTTGTGGATAACATCCATATGTTCCCCCTTCAAACCATCCTCTGAAAATCTCCCGGCGGCTTCATGTAGGGATTAGACCTGACTCTAGGCAGGAGGAAGGTGTGCCACCACCCTGGCTGGGACAGTGGTGAGTACATGGTGTGGTGGGTGTGTCTCTGCCCTACTTTACCTCCCCAACCCAACGGTGCTGTCACAACACAGCTTTGTGTGTTGGACACATGGGTGTGCACGTGACTGCATGCATACACATGTGGGTAGTGTGCTGTGACTGTTCACAGGCACTGGTGAAGCACATTTCTCTTAGACTTTGTAGATCTATCAGATTATCACTGAAAGACCAGCACTATTGCAATGGTAGTACAACTGCAGGAATTTAAAACATTCCCTACGGTGGCATATTTTAAGTTAAAGATAGTGGTCTTACAGAATTATGTTCCTTAGTAATTGTGGATGAACCCAACTTCCTATGATGTTTTCACCTGCTCGGTGGGGAATTGAAATTGCCTTCTGAATTTTTGTTTTTCTAGAATTCTTGATTTGGACCTGGTGGTTAGAGATGAAGATGGGAACATTTTAGATCCAGAACTAACTAGCACAATTAGTCTCTTCCGAGCTCATGAAATAGCCTCTAAACAAGTGGAGGAAAGATTACAAGAAGAAAAAGTAAGTTTGTCTGTCTCTGTATTTTGCCATTCACACGTGGGCAGCATTTCTCAGAAAGCGCTTTCAGCAGTGGAATATCAAGGGGCTCAGACTTGGCTCTAAAGAAGAACCTGAAAAGGAGCATTGGCACAGTGTGTTCCCAACAAGGATGAAAGGAATGTGCCCGGGGCAGGCGTGCGGCCGAGGTCACGAGGGGATTTCATGCCTGCCGGGGATGTGCAGAGCATCGTGCTTCACCAGGGAGGATGGGAGCGTAGTGGCCTTGACTGTGGAGTCCTCTGTCAGATGGGAGATGATACCATTTAAATTCTGCATCTGATTCTGCATTTCCTCTCTGACAACAGTAGGGGCGTGACATCAGTAGGGGCGTGACATCGTAGCTTGATGAGGGTGGAGAACACCAGTCGGGTCGATGTTTTCATCTCTCTGTTCTGTGATGGTATCATGTATGTGGTAGATATTCAGAAGCTGATGGCTTGATTTGCTCATCAGTGAATTTGGCAAGTATTCATTGGGCACCTAGTCGTTTGCCAGATACCAACGACATAATGAAGAATGACAAAGAAATGTCCTGGGAGTGTTTATTCGAATGAGGGAAACATTAATTAGAACGTGCAACTACACCTGTGCTCATCATTTCTAGGTCATTGATTGGACACTTAAAAATTCTGTCTCTGAAAATACTCAGCATATTGATATGAGATTGGGGTCATTGCATAGGGTGCTGTTTTTTCTGAAACGTAGGACCATGCTTTGAGAACTCGTGGGGGCAGGGAAAAGATCACATGAATGGCCTAGCTGACTCAAGCCCACTTCTCCTGCACCTTTTTCCTTGCTGTAGAGGATATTAAAAACAAACAAACAAACAAACAAACAAACAAACCCAAAAAACAAAGATTATTGATGAATATTGCTTATGTCGACTTTCTTTTCATTGACAGTCTCAGAAACAGAACATGGATATCAACAGACAAGCTAAGTTTGCTGCCACCCCTTCTCTGGCCTTGTTTGTCAACCTCAAAAATGTGGTTTGTAAAATAGGAGAAGACGCTGAAGTGCTCATGTCTCTCTACGACCCTGTGGAGTCCCAGTTCATCAGGTGGGGCTCCCTGCTGGTTATGGTCTCTCCTGTGTGAAGAAGGTGGTGTCAGAACCACCCAGGTGGCCCTCACTTGCCAAGAGCCTGTGAGCAGAAAAGCTACGTGACCCACCTGAGTAGCCAGGCCCTGGGCCCTCTCTGGGCAGTGTGAGGGCAGCTCGGTTGGGCTCTGGGCTGGGCAGGTTTTCTTGTATGTGTGCTGCTGTTTGCTTGTGGAGGTGCAGGGATTTCAGGAACACTCGCAGTGTGGTAGGGACTGGGCTGAAGCACTCTGTTTTCTACACTGTCACCGCAGAACTTTGTATGTTGAGACCCCCAAAGGTCACATTTTCCTTTTCACACCTTTGGGCTTAGAATGTCATTTTTGTGACTTCTGTCCTACTGCTGTTTCTCCAAGCCAAGAGGCTGGAACCCAGTGTCTCGATTGGCACCTGCTGTATGCTTGCTCACCGTTAGCATCTGCTCAGTGAAAACACTGTAAATCGCCTGTTCTTGCTCGGCCCAGAGTATAACTTCCTCTTTATCCGCATGGAAAAATGAGGGTTAAACTCTGGAAGTTGGTGTGAGTCTGTGAGTATTAAAACTCCAGTATTTTCACTTGTACTATTCGGAATGGAAAAATGTGGTCTGTGACTGAAACAGAGCAAATGGGTGGCTTTATCCTCACTTCTGATGGACTCTGTTTCTTCTTGATGTAAGACAGCAGGTATTTTACAGCACGTTTTGTTTGTCATATACATGTCATGTGTATGTGTGTACACAAGTTCGTCTCTCTCTCTATGCATGTGCACGTATGGATAGCACACACATCATGTTGAACTTTATACTAGTGCCATTCTAAATTGACAAACAGGCCTTTCGGATGATAAAGTTTGAAATGCCATTTGCGATGGTCCATGACATTAAGCCCAAGAAGCCTGGAATGTAACCCTCCACGGTATTTTGTGGTCCGTGTCTGCTGCTGGGTCACGCTGACGTTGGTATTGATAGACCCATGGTTGCTCTATCGTAGACTTCCAGAGTACTGATTATGAGTCAGTGTGGTTGTGCTTGGAAAATCAATTTGCTTTTATTTCTTCTTTTTTCAAGTGAGAACTACCTGGTTCGCTGGTCAAGTTCAGGATTACCTAAAGACATAGACAGATTGCACAATCTGCGAGCTGTGTTCACTGTAAGTGTGCTGCAGGTGTTCAGCGGCACCATTCTCCGTCCTAATACTGTTCTTAGTGACTTCCCTACAGCACTGGCACATGGGTCTGGGGGGATGCCTGGAGTCCAGGTTAATCTGGGATGAATAACATGCCTTCTGGAACCTTCTGAGTCTCTAGCTGCCCTTTGAGTCACTGTAACAGAGATTTGCCCCATTACTGTGGAGCACGTCTCTTAAACTTCTATCTCAAGTTCACTTAACAGTAACTGACTATTGTTATTCAATTACGTTTTGTCATGGGACTAGCACTGAAATGCCGGACGCTGCTCTGGGAGGGGAATCTCAGTGTCTTCACTGTCCTTTTCAATTGGACTTGCATTGAGTAATGGTTCTTCAAAATAATTTATGGAAATTAATATTTCTAGGACCTTGGAAGCAAAGACCTGAAAAGGGAGAAAATCAGTTTCGTCTGTCAGATCGTCCGCGTGGGTCGCATGGAGCTGAGGGACAGCAACACAAGGAAGCTGACCTCGGGGCTGCGGCGACCTTTTGGAGTGGCGGGTAATCCATTTCTCTCTTTCTCCTTGAGAGTTTAAGATCATCACCTTCACTTTGACTAAGAGCCGCTGTTGAACACTGGGCAGTGGGCAGCTTTGATTTATATGCTTTTCTGGTGGAGAGAAAAAAAATCTATCATCCTTTTTCTGGGTGGTTTTAGTCCACCTGTAAGTTCGGGATGCTTTGGTGCCTGAGTTTCAGATGTAAATAGAACATATTTGGTTTAAAGCAGATCGTGTCTTTTCCTCAGAGAGACCCTGACCCATTTCCTGGCCCGTGGAGAAGCGGGGCACTGGCAGGGGTCGGTTTCAAGATTTCTGGACTTGGCGGTTGGTTTAGGAGTGGACTGGCGTGGACGGGGACACGAGGAGGAGAGTCAGGCACCAAGTCCACCGGGTCTGCTGGACACAGGGCCTTTGTTGTTTTTTAACCCTTCTTAATTCTAAATAATGTGTGGTTCGTTTTGGTGACAGCTCAAGACAAGTGAGACCAGTCATCTCTGTTGGGGAAAGTGTCCCCAGGAGATTCTGATGATTTGATCTTTTTCACTTCAAAAAAAAATAATTTTGGAAACTTATTTTAAGGTCATAGGGAATTTCTTACCCAGCTCTTGAGGTGTGTTCATGTCCTTTCTGTGAGTTTGGGGAATCATATGAACAAATGTTTGGGAAAATCTCGATCCCTGGCACCCAGCTGGAACACCTTCCTTACCGTGACCAAGCATCCCAGAGCTGAGACTTTTCTCCTCTTGGAATAGACTTTATTTTTAGAGAAGCTCTAGGTTCTGGTAAAATTGGGCAGAAAATGGTTCTCACGTACCCTCGCCCATCCTCAGCATTACCCCCCATTGCTGTGTTTGTCCGTCAGTGAACCTAAAGTGGTATGTCACTGTCATACAAGGTCTAGAGTTGACGTGGCTGTCTGATCTTGCTGTTGTGCATTCTGGAGGTTTTGACAAAGGAATGATGTCCCATGTCCACCAGAACAGGACCATGGAGAGCAGTTTCACTGCCTTAAGAGTCCTCTGTGAGGCGGGGGTTATGGCTCAGTGGTAGAGTGCTTGCCTAGCATGCACGAGGCACTGGGTTCGATCCTCAGAACCACATAAATGTAAAATAAAGATATTGTGTCCACCTAAAACTAAAAAATAAATATTAAAAAAAAGTCCTCTGTGGTCTTGAAGTTTTTAGAGAAATATATCCATTCTTTAAACAAATGATTCCTACTTCATAAAGAGTAATGGACGGTGAGAGGCCAGGTGATAGGTCTGCTATTGGAAGCACCACGAGGAAGTTTACTGCTTATGAGTGAAACGTCAGGGTGGGTTGCCTCGCTGAGACCCCCGGGGGATTGGTACGGGGGATATCACATTCTCCTCCCTTATGGCTCGAACACACGTTTTAAAATTCTTGTTTTATTTTTCAGAGCCTGTAGCACCTTTCACGTGTTTAGTTGAGATCCTGTGATTTTTCAGAAGTTTGCATTTTCTTTTCTCCTGCTATGGTATTTTTTGGTGTGTGTGGTGCTGGGGGTTGAACTCAGGGCCTGTGCATGTGGGCAAGCACTCTACCAGCCGAGTAACTGAGCTATGTCCTTGGCCCCGCCCCAAGGTTGTTTTAAGAAAATATTTTATTTTGTCTTAGGTGTATTAGGCTTCCCTGAAGCAATCAGAGGAAACTTTGACAAGTTATGTAACTCACGCCTCTTTCCAGCATGGATGCCGTGGGTTCTCTTGTTCTTAGATACCAGAGAGTGTGCTGAGAAGTTCCTGTGAGAGCACAGCGAGGTTTGTGAAGCAAAGACGAAATCTCCATGGAGGCTTGTGGCTCCTCCCCGCCTTTGATTAAAATTGGAAAACCTTCAGCTTTCGGCATTTGAGTCTTGACATTTGGAATGTCCTAGGGAGTGAGGGCTGGGGACGTTGGTGGTCTCGGTACCTGCGGATCTCACTGTGGCCTCACTGTTCAGAATGTGCTTGATTTTGCGTGGTGGGGTCTGGTGTCAGGTCACAGCCCCCACCTCCGAGGCTTCTCTGGGAGTTGCTGAAGCCCAGGTGTACCCTGCCCTGACGTGGTGCCCTGTCCCTGGGAGCCCTTCCTATGTTGTGTCTGCAGAGACGTGGCCAGTGTCTCGGCCTCCACTGCCATGTGCCTTGATTCCTGGTGACCCTCCTCTAGCCCCTTGCTCCTCCCGTCGTCCCTGGTCTTTGGCTTCTTCCTCTTTTGTCTTGTGTCCCTGGTGCTCATTCACTGTGGGCTGTTGGAAGCCTGCCTGGGCCATCCCTAGCTCCACTGGCCTGTTTTTGCCCATCTTCTCTGGAGCATGGGCTCTCCCCGCTGTTCTGGTCATGGGGCCTTTGTCCTATCTGGCTCCTGGTGGGACGCGTCAGGCCTGGGGCTCCCAGCAGGGCCTCTGCTCCCTCTGCTGCCCAGCAATTGCTTGCTTACTTGGCTTCTGGTTCGCCTGGGTCCTAGCATGAGCACTGTGGCCTCCAAGGTCACATCAGAGGCCAGGTTTTGAGGACCTCTTGACTGGTATGTTTCCATAAGTACTCTTAAGAACCGGAGCCTCTGCTTGTCGAGTTTCCAGGTTCCTATGGTCACTGTGCCCTGAGACCGGGGTGGTGTGTTGCATCATGTGACTTGGCTGCGTAGATTTCTGGCACAATACGTGGCTACCAGCTGCCCTGTCCCCCTTGTTCCATGCCATTCTTCAGTGTAGCTGGGGTGCAGGCTTCCCACCACTGCAGCTCCGCCCCCAGCCACACCTTTTCCCTGAGGACAGACCCCTCTCCTAGCTGAGGAGGGCCGTGGACTTGTGGTCACCATGCTCTGCCCAGATCCACAGGAAGACTTAGTTTTGCAGCCCTCTCCAGGGTGAACCCTGCTCGTCTGTGCGACAGCACCCAGCTCCTGGAGAGAAGCGTGCGTGGACCTTTAGGCCTGTGTGTCTTGTCTTGTATTGGACGTAATGTGTCACATTCTTTGTTTTAAACCTTTTGACAATGTGAAAGTGATAGGCAATTGTAGAAAATTATGGAAATTTCATTGAAGAGAAACCTAAGCATAATTGAATAAATCATTCCTAATTTTCCACAATTGGGAGTTCTTCAGGATTATTCTGGCATGTTTTTTTATTTCTTCTTTTTTTTTTTCTATGTTTGTGGTTGGTCCATAATTTTAAAAAACAATATCAGGTCAGACAAGGGCTGAGGGTGCAGCTCAGAGGCAGAGCACACGCTTCACGTGTGAGGGCCTTGAATCCCTAGCACCAGGTGGACACATCTGAGCAGAGACCTTCTGTTGGCCTTTTGGTGGTTTTTTTCTTTTTTCCATTCCTCTTTGGTCTCGGGCTTTGTCCCCAGGCTGGGGCTGGGAGGGCCTGAGGCGAGGAGCAGGAGGAGGGCTCATGAGTGCCGGGGCAGGTGGCCTTCCTGCAAGGGCTGTTGGGCCTGGTGTGTGCAGACTTGGGCACCGGGGACAGGGCAAGGGGTTGGATGGCCGGGGAGGCCCATCAGCTGGTGAGTTGAGCCAGGTGACACTGGAGAGGCACATGGCAAGGCCACCCGTGTGGCTGGTGTGCAGGTTCAGACTGACTTCTCTCTGCTGCTGACTGCTGAGTGAGCTGCTGCCCACGCGAGCTTCCTTTCATGATTCTGAATTGTGGTGAAATGTGTCCATGCACAGATGGGCATCTTAGCATTGGTCAGTGCTGCATGTCGTGCCAGTCACCACAGACAGTGCCCAGTGCTGGCACAGTCTACCAGGTGGGCCTTGAGTTCCAGCCGTTCACCTCCTGTGCAGCTGCTTCTCGATGGCTGATGCACTTGGGCTCCTTCCACCTGCGTCTGCGCAGCTCTTCTGCCTGTCGTCCCACTGGTGCAGCAGGACACACTGCACAGACCCCTTGGGCTCCACCAAACCCAGCAAGAGACGGACAGCAGGGCCAAGCAGGGGCTGGATGGCAGGGCTTCCATTTGCCCGGCAGTCCCTGAGCTCTTTTGGGGGGCGGCCGTGTAGAAATGAACATAGTCTCCACTTCAACCTGGGATGCTGGTCACCAGGGGAGGACTTAAGTTAGGAAAGCAAACAGGTGCGCTGCTCTCTTATCTTTAGCCAGGTGTGGGGGATGAGGCGGGGCACAGGGAAGGTGCCCAGTGCCCTCTGGGGCTGCTCTTGGCTCTTCTTGGTCAGGCTGTCGTGTCCGAGCCAGGAGGCAGGCAGACAGTGGGCTCGTGTGCAGGTTAGTTCTGTCTGTGGCTGCGGTTTGCTCAGCTGGATGGTTGGTGGCTGAGGATGCTCTGTGAGTGTCCCCTTCGCATTGCCACCAGCATGTGGAGGCTCCTGGTATATGGTAGCCCTGGCTTATTGTGTTATTATTTGGGATGTTATTAAGGGTAGGCAGCCACTTGGCACGTGTGGATATTTAAGTTACATTTAAATGAATAAATCAAAGGTAGCATTTGGCTCTGTCCTTCCTGTACCTCTTAGTGCCCCTTGTTCCACAGAACATCCTTACCACAGATGTCTCGGAATCTGCAGCTCCAGTGGCTGGTGGGCAGTGGGCCAGAGAGGGTCAGGGGACCTCCACCATTCCGCTCCAGCCCTGTCAGATGACCTCATGTCTTTCAAACATGGCAGTCTTTAGACTTGAAGCTCATGTGATGGTTGGTCAGAACATTCTGATGGTCCTTGGTTTGACTTCCTATGATGATTGCACTGAAGTAAGACAGTCTCTGTTCTTTTCTCGTCCACAGTGATGGATGTAACCGATATAATAAATGGAAAAGTAGACGATGAAGATAAACAGCATTTCATTCCCTTTCAGCCGTAAGTATGGAGCGGTCCAAGCCCGTCGCCACCTGCAGTGTGGAAATCCTGTTTGTAGTGATTAATCACCTTCGAGATGACATTTATACGTGAAGCCCACATAGGGATAGATTGTTTCACAATCATAAAAGATTTGCGTAGTCACTGCCACAGCACATGGAATTTTTGGTAGTGATCAGAATCCTGGGTAAAAGTTGGTTTATGCTTCTGGAAGTAGATTCTATATGTGTTCACCGAATTTCCTTATCAGAAGAATTACAATTCCACTCTGAGTGTGGATGTTTCTCTACATAATTGATTTATTCTAGTTGCAGTTTGCATTTTCCAAATACAATACTTGCAAATTCATCACAAGAGGTCTGCTGTTTTTAAAATAGAAAACCAGACACAATGATGATGAATTCCTTTGTAAAGTGAGGAATAGGACTTTGCAGCATGTGGTGACACTGCTGAGTTTCCCATCCTGATTTCTGCTCAGGCTCTATGGGTGCCGGGCACTTCTCTGTCTCCTTCTGACCTGAGGTCTCTGGAGAGGTGCCTGGAGCCTGGGAAGGCACTTGAGGGAGGTGCCTTTGGTGGAGTCTCTGATGTGAAGGGACTGGGGGTGTTTGGTGACAGAAGCAGGCGAGGCCCAGTCAGGGTCTTTGGCCACCCCAGGGACACTTCTGCTTCAGGAAGGTGGGGCAGGAAGTGGAACGCTTAGGTAAATGGTGAGACGGCCTCCCCTAGCTTGCCAAGAGTTGGTGACCTGCGCGGACCTCTGTGTTCTCTTTCCTCTTCATGTTTGTTTTTCTTTAAGGGATCTCACACTGGAGACAAGTTCATTTTACAAAGTTCACATCGTTTCCAGCAGTCGGTGGAGGGGCTTTGGGTGGCTGGGGAAGTGGCTGTGGAAGGAGCCCCGTCCTGGGTGGAGGAGGGGGACTGTGGCTCCTCGTGCACCACGCAGCCTTCCTGACCCACCCGTCCCACGGTTGGGCTGCGCTCCTGGCAGATGCTCCCTGCGCAGGCAGGTGCTCTGTCTGTCCAGCAGCTTCCGAGGCTCTTGCAGTGTCCAGTGGAGGCTTTTGCAGCTTCCTGGACGGGAGGATGGCAGAGCCGCTATGTTCCCCAGCTGAAGGTGGGTCCGGTGGCACATCTTCCCAGCACAACCGCAGGCAGAGGGCTTTGGGGACTTCAATGCTTTCAGTTCACTTTTCTGTCTAGTGTGATAACTACTAGCCCCGTGTGGCCATTTAAATTAATTAAAATTAAATAGAATTAAAACTTTAGCTTCTTAATCACATTAGTTCCATATCAGTGTTCAGGGCCCCCCCCCCCCCCCCCCCAGGGGGCTCGCGGCTGCCGTGCTAGGCGCGTGGAGCATGTTCCCACCGCCGCAGGGAGCGTGGCTGGGTCCTTACCTCAGGAGCCCACCAGCGAGCTGGCTCGTGAAGGCAGAGCTCTGCAGTCTGCAGGCTTCCTCAGCAAGTGAGGCCACCCAGTGCAGGTAACACGTAGACGTACTTTTGTGAAATCATCAAGTTCAGGTGCTTGTTGTTCCCCTGGGAAATAATGGGGCCCCTGCTGTTTTGAATGCTGTGTTACATGTCAGCTTCCCGAAGCCCCAGTGCTCTGCAAAATTAAGATGTCCTGTTGCTGGCTAGTGGACTCTGGGGTGCTCTGGGGTGCTGTTGGAAAAGTTAGAGCGTTCAGAGTTTCAGGTTCTTGGTCTTCACAGGCTGTGCTTTAAGCTCCTGGCGGTGGCCTGTGCATGGTGCCGTCTTTTTTTTTTTTTTTAAGAGAGAGAGAGAGAGAGATAGAGAGAGAGAGAGAGAGATAATTTTTTAATATTTATTTTTCAGTTTTCGGTGGACACAACATCTTTATTTTATTTGTATGTGGTGCTGAGGATCGAACCCAGCGCCCCGCGCATGCCAGGCGAGCGCGTTACCGCTCGAGCCACATCCCCAGTCCCATCTTTTTTATCTTGTAGTGAACGTCCATTTTAAAAAATATGATTACATGCTTACCTCTTATGTAATTTGTGACTCCTTGCTCCATTAAAGGAAGACTAATATTCAGATTAATATTTGCAGTGTTAGAAGCAAAAGAGCAGCCTGATTTTAATAGCAAAATAAGCAATGAAACCAGTTCTTTGGGAAATGTCATGCTAATGAAACCGTTTTTTGCTCCATTAAAACTGATTTATTATCTCACAGGGTTGGTTTTAGGGATGGAAGCGCAGTGCACATCTCTCCCTCGCTCCCCCTCTCTCTTTCCTCTCTCTTTCTCTCTCTCTCTTCTTTTACTTGGTGAAGTGAATTAAAAACAGCCCTCAGCTCCCGTGAGTTATGTGGCTCGGGTGATGGATAATGGTGACCTTGCTTCAGAATTGATTTTGGACACTATGCCCATGGTGTCTGTTTCCTTCTCATTTTCTCTTGGGCCGGGCAGGGTACAGGGTGTTCTTGCTGGCACCTGCTGCCTGCTTGGCTTCCCTCTCCTTCACTGCAGCCCTGTGGACGGCTCCCTGTTCTCGGGCCCGACCTGCTGGTTTGCATTCCTAGCCATGTCCCGGCTTCCCTCCCCGATGTGGTTGTCACCGATTGTGTTCCCTGAAGTGTACTCCCCGTCTCACATGAACTCACTTGGGCTCTGTGGAGTGTAAGAGGGGCAGATTGGGAAGCTTCTTCAAGCCATTAGGTTTCGGGGGTCTCTTCTTGAGCGGGGTGGGGGTTCTTGATTTTGCTTTTCCCTTTGTGCCACCTGCCCCGTGACCCAGGCTGTGTTTGGAGTTAGTGAAGTTGGAGAAGTGGCTGTGGGGGTGCCTTTAAGCCCCCTGGCCCTCGGACCAGCCCTTCAGTGGTCCGGGGGCCCCTGAGCCGCGGCTGGTGTCCTGGGGAGCGGGCGCCTTGGTTGGCCTGACTTCTCTCTGGTTCAGCATTTCCTGATCGATGCTTTTCCCTGTTTCTCTTGTCACCTGCCCTCTGTCTCCCACCCTCTGTCCTGCGTTGACTCATGACGACCCTCTGGCCCTCGGGGACGCTGCCCTCTTGTGTTCCCTTGTTCCCGGGACCCACGGGTCTCCGTGCCCTTTGTCTCCTGTGGTCTTGCTCGTCCCGTGCCCTCCAGGCTCGCGTTGGACGACGCCACCCGACACAAGCCGCTGAACATGTCATCCCGTTTTTCACCCAGGGTGGCAGGGGAGAACGACTTCCTGCAGACTGTCATAAACAAAGTCATCGCTGCCAAAGAGGTCAACCACAAGGGCCAGGGTACGTATCTCCATTTGGTTACTGTTGCTGTCCTCCTTTGGGGGTGTGGACGGTGCCGTCTGGTTTGTGTGTCAGCTCGACGTGGTGGTGGCAGTGGTGACAGTGCCGGGACTGGAGAGCTTGTCTCCAATGCATGGCCCCTGCCGTGTCCTGCTGCTCACCTTCCTGAGTACCACTGGAGGCCAGCCTCTCCGAGGACAGCGAGGACTGATCTTTTCTTGAGCGGGGTGCGGGTTCTTGACTTGCTGGGCCAACGCTGGGTTTCCTCCCTTGGTCCAGCCCAGCCCTTCCTCTTATCCTAGCCCTTGAACAAAATCCTTAATACCGTTCCCTGCCCGCGGGCTGCAGCTCCCTCTTCCCCGTAGGGAAAGGGGACATTGGACACCACCCTCACCCCCAGGCATGTGCTCTTGTCCCTCTGTCATGGCCCACGTGGAGTGCAAGCCACTGCCTGGCTATTTTCTGGGGCCGCCCCTTTGTCCCCTGGGAAAGTGGCTTTGTTTGCATGGACTGGTGCCCCTCCCTTCTGTTTGCTCAGTTATCCTCCTTCCCACTCTCTGTCCCACAAGCACCAACATTGACCCCACACTGATGTGTCCAGCAGCTGCCCTTCTGCTGGCAGAGCTGGCCCCCTGTCGGCTTGGCTGGAGACACTGGGCCCTCGGTTTGGCCAGGAGATGACATTGGAGGAGCCTGCCTCCTGCCCGGGGGGAAGCACCTTCGGAACCTGGGTCTGACCTGCCCCACACAGGTGGGAACGTCCTCACGTCAGTCCTGGATCTGGTGCTGACGTGCTGGAAGCTGGGCCGGGCTGAGGGAAGGCCTGCCTCCCTGTCCAGCTACCTGCGGTCACCAGACCTCCAGAATAGCCGTGCCAGCTCTCAAGGAGAACGTTGACCCAGTGGAAGAGTGTTCTGGAGAAATGGGCCCTTAAGGGCTCTGTGAGGACCCTGAGCTGGTGTGACCTACCCTTCTCTGGCCCACAACAGCAGAACCAACCCCCACCCTGAGAGTTAACCCTGAGGGTTCATGAACATTCAAGCTGACCTAGGCCTGGTCCCTGGTAAATGATCAGCCATGGCAATTAGCACTTTAATTAAAACCACCCACTAGGGGTCTGGTCCAGCTGTTGGGATTGGAGCTGTGCAGGCTAGGTGCTGGGGGCAGGCCCTGGCTGCTCGTCCACCCTGGCCCTGGAGCAGGCCCTGTGGACCTCCAGGTTCTCTCTCCTTGTCGTCTGAGCTTTGGTCAGCATTTATGACAGAGTCACCCAGGAGAAGTGGAGATTGTTTCAGGCCAGCAGGAAACTACTCAGAAAGATGCCCGGAAGCCTGCCTCTGTCAGGTTCACGGCCAAAATCCATGAAGCCAGAGAGCGACAGGGCTGGTGCTTGGTGCCTGTACCCCGGGAGGAGGGGCTGCTCCAGGCCACAGCGGGAACGGAGAGGAGACCCTCAGACAGCTGCGTCTTCCCGACTCGGAATGCCCGGCAGCCTCCTCACTGAACCTTTTCCTGGCCCGCCAAGGTGAACCCTGCTCTTTCCAGAGAGCACTGAGAGAGGTGGTCCAGGGAGTGCCCCTGAGCCGGCCGCTGGGTCTGTTGGGCACAGCTGGGTGTCTGTTTTCCATCAGTCCTGACCCAGGTTGCCCCTGATCCTGCTCACCTGGGTCCTGGCCAGGTGCCCACATAAGGAGCAGGGAGGAACCACTGTATACACAACCGGGAGTATTTCATGCCCGGTATCAAGGGCGCAGGTCCCGTGGCCCTGGTCTCCTGGCACACGCCTGGGGCCCCTGTCCCTCGGGCTCCTGTCTTGGGGCCTTGGTCTGTTCTAGGTTTCATCAATGTGTCCTTGTCACCAGGGACACAATCTTTTATAGTCAACCCAAATTATTCTGACTCCTGAACCTGAAGGTACTGGGTGTTTGAAGTGGACAGTGTCCCCCGCCCTTCCCCCGCAGACCCCTGCTCCTGTGTTTGAGATCTGATGGTGCTCCTTCTTTTCATTTTTAGTTATTCTGATGAAGCAGACGTCAACCCCAAATGTGCTTTTTCTTTGATGAATATTGGCCTCATATTCTCTTGAGGAAGGTGTTTTTAGAAAAGCTCAATATGATCAAGAACATTTAGCCTCCCTGTTTAGATTGTGGTGTGACACTTGAGTCCCGTCACCCGTATTCGAGTTTGTGACGTGGTGTTTGTGAGCAAGGAAAGGTGCTTGAGAGGCAGGACTTCTCATAATAGCACGAATGCTCTTAGATCTGGTTTCCTGGACCGGTGATGGTGCCAGGTCACAGGTGAGGGAGTGCCTGGCCCCTGGAAGGTCTGTCTGCTTAATTTTTCTGCAGGTCCAGAGCTGGTGCTAGTTCAGTACTTTTGTGTGAATTAGTGGAAAGGAGGAGTCGCAGTCAGTGCCAGGGTGGATCATGGGCTCCTAGTCACCTTTCTTGGTCCATTACCGTATGCAGTGCACGTCTGGAGCCCTGGTACATGTGCCTCTGTTTGGGTGCCATCCCCTGGTGGGTCTTGGGGACTTTCTTCCCTTGGTTCTATTTCCCTCCTTTGTCAAACTCTGTCTCCCATAGACAATGCAGACGCACACAGGGACACCCACAGGGGCCCAGGCACAGCACACAGTAGGAGCACACCTTGATACTCTGGTGGCTCAAGGGTCCCCCAGAGCTGAGCAGCTGGGGAGCAGCAGGCGAGGCTCATGGCCTTGTGTGAGCGCCTCAGTGTGCCACTGGGAGTGATGCCGCCTTTGCACCTGGGAGACAGGCACTGTCCTTGACAGCAGCTGCTGCGTCTCCTGCCCTTGATGTGTGAGCCTCTGCATGTCCTTCCTCTCCCGCCCTCGTACCTGCCCCAGGGTGTGTATTCAGGGCGCACTCCCTGTGCCCAGGCCCGTGTTCACCACACTCCTTGTGGGATGCTCCTTCGTCTTGGTGTCGAGGGCTGAAAGTCTCCTGTTCCCTCTGGGAGGCAAGAGCTCAGTGGCAGTCTGAGCATTTGTTCCTCCTGAGCTGTGACAGTGCCCCCGCGGCCCCGCTCTGCAGCTCACTGGGGCGCGAGCTCCCAGTGCCTTGTGTATCTAACTCTGAGTCCTTGCTGGCGGCCTCCCTGGGGTTCTGGGAGAGGACAGCCTTCTGGGTCCATTCCTAGTCCATGGTCCTTCTGGTTTATCTCACATGCATATTGATTCAGGGGAGCCATTGGTCCTGGGCACCGTAGGGAGGGCACAGCCGCTGGCCCTGGGCACCTGTGGGAAGCGTGGAGCTGCTGCTCCTGAGGGTTCCCCTGTCCAGGCAGAGTTTGCCTCCCAGCTGGGAGGTCATTCCCCTGTGCTGAGTACCTCCCACCTGGACGTTGACTGTGCCTTTAAATGTTGAATCGTGAATTAAAACTCTCGTTCATTGAAGTCACTGTCATGAAGTATTCTTGAAACGAGCAAGATGCAATGTGACCCCGGCATCTGTTGTTTTCCCAGGTTTGTGGGTAACGTTGAAATTACTTCCTGGAGATGTCCATCAGATTCGAAAAGAGTTTCCTCATCTGGTGGACAGAACCACAGCTGTGGCTCGCAAAACAGGGTTTCCAGAGATAATCATGCCTGGTAAGGACTGGCTCGTCTGGGGCTTCTGCGCACGGGAGATGTAGCTGGTCACAAAACCATGGGGACAGTAACATGTAGCTCCGGCAGCCACAGGGGGCTGAGCTCACCTTGGTGATGTGGAAGCCCCAGGGTGGCTCTGGAACACCTGGGGGTCAGTGGCTGTGACTGAGTGAGGGGGGATATTCACCCTGGCCACCTGCACCCCTGCTAGGAAAAGCTCCCCACAGCTGTGAGGGTCGTGTGGGGCAGGCAGGAAACCCAGCAGATATCTGAATAGATTTTTTGATTAAAAAGAGGAAGGAGCATTGGCAAGTGAGTACCCAGCATGCGGCCACCATAGGCCATGCGGGACAGCAGGACTGTGCCTGAGTGGCCAGTGGCTAGTGTCGGGCGCCCCACTAGTGCTGCTCTGGTCCTGTTGCAGAATTTAGGCCTGGAAACGGATGAGGGGATTTCTTGTGAGCGTTGATCTCATGTTTAACAACACCGTCCAGTTTCTATGTAGATTCATGTTACTAATCTGATTTGGTTCTCGGACCTTGGGAAGCATGGTTGATATTTACCCTTTGTATCTGGGTGATACTGTTTGATTCGTAAGCAATATTTGTGTTAATAATATAGGTCAATCCACATAAAGGTCTTGGGACACTGCAAGTTAGTGTTGAGCTAATTCTCATAAAAATTAAACCACAGCCTGAAGTCACATGGCCAACGAGTGGAAATGAGGTCCAAATGCCACTCTGGCCTGGCACACGGGGCCACTTTGGCCACCCAGCCAATTTGCTAAGACTTATCAGGGGAAGTCAGCTCACAGTCCTTGAATTTGGACCTGCCACACAAATTCATGCATGAAGTCACTGGTGGTATGTGTTGACCTCTGTGGCTCAGGGTGTCCTCCTTGGCGAAGGGAAACCCGGGAAACATGTGCTCTGTGGGGTTTCCCTGATAACTGGTAGACTTACACAGGAAGTCTAAAACTTACCCCGTGATTCTGGCAGGTTCCGTGTGCTCCCTGTCTGGGGAGGGGCCCCTGGAGAGGGCAGCTAGCTGGAGTGAGTCACCCTGTTCTCTGTCGACTGAGTGACCCCGGCCAGGCTGCAGGCACCAGGAGACAGAGCCAGTGGTTTTCAGTCAAACTCCTGCTCGCTCCTGGCAAAACCTGAGCATCACCCGTTTGGTTGGCTGTCTCATGGAGACCTGGATCATCTTTGGACAGTGGGGGAGCCAGTCATGTCACCTCATGGCTGACTTTCTACTTTCTCGTGACCTGCTGGCATCCCAAGCCCTTCTGGAGGACTGGGTGGGAGAGCAGAGCTGTCCTTTGAGCAGGAGGGGTGGTTAGCATCTGCCCACACCGGCAATGAGCTCCCTCCTCCCCACAGAGAGCCCCATAACCCTGGGGGTGTCTGCTGATGGCCCTTGTGAACATCTGTGGGCTTTTCCTTCTGTGAATGGGGTCAGCTGGTTGGCCCCACAGAATTACTCTCTAGGTGCACACGGGAGCCAGGTGTGGGGTTCAGCCCCTCGTCACCCCCACCCCTACTACTTCTCTGGCTGGTGTCATCTTCAGGAAGCTGCTGTCCCCTTTAGTGATCGAGCTCCATGAAATCTTCAGATGGAGTGGTGGCCCAGCCACCCTGCCTCACCAACGAGGCTCTTCAGGGTGGCTGTCCCAGGTCACTGCTGGTCAGTGGCAGGTCCTGGACGGGCAGCCTTGCCTTCTGCTCCCTGGCTCCTCCTTCCTTCTCTTCTACCATGGACCCTGGCACAGTTGCAGCTGTGCTCCGTCTCCTGGCAGGCACAGTGGCTGTGGGAGCAGCCCACTGGGACTGTTATAATAATGACTTTTAAATGAAAGCTTAATTTAATAGTCGGATCCATTAAAAGGCAAAATAAATCAGTTAAACAAACAAAAAAAAATAAAATTAAAAATTAAATAAAAATAAAAAAATAAAATGAAAAGAAGACAGCAAGAGGAGGCTTTGTTCCTTAAGGTCCCTGCTCCTCAGCCTCTTGCTGCCCTTGATGGAGCATAGCCGCTCTGTGCAGAGCAGGGTCAGGTGGGAGGGGCCAGGCAACAGCACAGTCACCGTCCCTGGGCCGTGATGCTTCCTCTAAATCACTTTGCCAACAAAGCTTGTGAAGTTTTCCCGGTTGGACCGTTACCAGGGGCTTCCTGCGTCCTGAGTGGGAAGTACTCTCTATTGTAATTTTTCCCCATAGTTAAGGGTCCGTCCTACTTACAGTGCACAGGTCTGTTTTGTTCTGCCTCTTCTTTCTTGGTCCCCACTAGGGACCAGACAGCCACTTGCTGCAAGAGAAGAGCCAAGCAGGGGAGTTCCCTTGTGGCCCCTCCTAGTTGTCCCTGATCCCAGGCTGTAGCTCTCAGTTGTCCCTGATCCCAGGCTGTAGCTCTCAGTTGTCCCTGATCCCAGGCTGTAGCTCTCAGTTAGATTTCAGCTCCTGGACTTTGGGAAGAATGTCGAGGAGGCCGATGCTGCCACTCACCTCCTAGGTGTGTGCTGAGGTGGCTACTGAGGCGTAGATGAGCCCAGCCCGCATGTTGGTGGCCATGGGCCATGGCCACGAAGCGGGGCAGGTCCTCGCAGCCCCTCTGTGGCATTGTAGTCACTCTGGGCTGCACTTGGAGTTGGAGGCTGCTCTGCCCCAACCAGCTATCAGCAGAGGAGATGGTTTCTCTTTCCAGCAGGTCTTAGGACAATGACAGAAATCACCTTTGTCGTGCTTTCAAATACTGAGATTGTTTTGTAGAGAATATTTCATGATCACCTAATAGAGTATCTATAACATTCTGCTAGGCTGGGGAGCGGGTTAGACGGTTTTGCAAAATTCACAGTCACACTGTGAATAATGGGTTGGTATTAAAGGTGTGATTTCCCCCCAGGTGATGTTCGGAATGATATCTATGTGACCTTGGTTCAAGGGGATTTTGATAAAGGGAGCAAGACGACGGCCAAGAACGTGGAGGTGACCGTGTCCGTCTACGATGAAGACGGGAAGCGCCTGGAGGTACTGCTCGCTGGGGTCGTGTCTGCAGGCCCAGGCCCTGGCTCTGTTGCCCAGCTCGCCGCAGCCACTCGGGGACAAGTGTTGGTTCTTGCTCCCCTGTCTCCACCTTGCCTTGGTGTCCCTGGGTCCTGGTGCCAGGCTGTCTCAGGAGATCCCTGTGGAGTTGGGCCCATGTTCTTTGCTCAGCCTTATCAGAGAGGGTCATTTGGGGGCATCATCCTAAGCCCCTAGCAATCACAGTGAAGTACAGACACCGTTATGTCACCTCTTCAGAAATGAGGAACCTGAGATTCTGAGGACGAAGCAATTAGCTCAGGGTCAGAGAGCAGGTAGATGTGGGTTGCATTCTCTGACCTCTGACTGCTGCAGCCTGAGCTATGGCCTCCTGGCGCTTCCCATAGTAACCAGGATTAACTTCTGTGGGCCAAGCAGTTAGCAGGGTTCACCTGAAAGGACTCAAGGCTGCAGTCATCTCTAATGAGCAGAGGCCAGACCAGAGCAGGTATCCATCCAGGAGCCTCTGTGGACTGGGGCCAGGGAGCCGAAGCCTGGGCTTGTGTCTGGGGCTCAGCTCTGAGTGGGGGTGGCTGCCTTTGTTGCTGCCCACCCTATCTCTCCAGAGGCATGGGCCTTTGCCAGCATGGCTCCAGGTGGGGTCCACTGGACAGCGTTCATGGCTGGAGCGGGCAGGAGGGCTGCTGCTGCCTCCTTGCTCTGCAGCCCTTTATTCCAGACCTCTGAACGAGTCAGGCCACTTCTCGTAGATCCTGATGTCAGAGGGGCTGGAGCAGGGTTGGGGTGGTGGACGCAGTATTACCCTCTTGTTTCACGACCCCCAGGTCCTCAGTGGGTGGTCAGGGCGTAGGCTATGAGCAGAACTGTGCTTCCCGTGAGATGAGTTCACAGCACTGCAGGAGTGATCTCTCTTCCTGGGGGCCTGGTGGGAGGTGTGTGCCCGGCAGGCTCCCCGAGGTCTCACCTGAACTCTCTGCCTTCTTTCAAAAGCATGTGATTTTCCCGGGTGCTGGTGACGAGGCGATTTCAGAGTACAAATCTGTGATTTACTACCAAGTGAAGCAGCCACGCTGGTTTGAGACCATGAAGGTATTATTTGCACGGTCATTTTATCACTTGGATTGATTATGAAATGCTCATTTGTATCCCAAAGGAACCCCCACCTTCCCCCTGGCTCAAGGGGCTGCCCGCTAGCAGCACCACACAGGCCGTGTGGCTCTCCCAACAAAGTCATTCCGGGTTGCTAAGGAACCACGCTGGTATTTCTCGGAATACATTTGCTCCCGTCTCCTTTGGACGTAGATATAGGGCTTTCATGGAGACAGATGACAGAGCCTTTTAAAGATAGTTATTGCCTTTCTCTTCTGGTTCTGTTTTATGTGTGGCATGCTGCCTTTACACCAGATTGGAAAAGACAGGATGCCAGTCCATGAGGTTTTGCCTGGGAGATGGGTCCCACTCCTGTGGCACTGGCACATTTGCATAATGCAGCTCTCCCGGTCTCTGTGGTGGCCTCTGTGGTAGGCACCAGCCCGCTGCCAAGAGCTGGAATATTTGAGAAGAAGCCTGGGGTTGGCCCCAGAACACAGATGTTAGATGTGAGAATCAGGGGCAGTCCTTGCTTGCAGCAGCATGGACGAGGTCTTTTTCTTTTCCCATAATGTGACAACAAGATAGCTTCCTTACTGCAGCTGTGGAGAGAATATAGATACCTTTGTGTTGGGACCAAATATGAAGACGGCAACGTTCAGAAATAGAATCTTAACAGTGAGGATCAGAATGTTAAAAGAAAAAATCCAGCTGTCTAGCAGAGTTGGGTTGGCTCCTTCCAATATTACCTTGTTTAAATTTGGAGACATTTTGCCTTTGGAAAGATCACACAGGGGATTAGATAGACAGCGTTTGCATTGCTAGGTGTAGAAGTATTTGCAGTTGTGCCCAAAGCTCCCGCTGAATTAAGCTGTCTCCCTGGGAACTGTTGGGGGAGCTGCCACCTCTCTCCTCTCCACTCACACAGGTGGCCATTCCCATCGAGGACGTGAACCGCAGCCACCTCCGGTTTACCTTCCGCCACCGGTCGTCGCAGGACTGTGAGTACTCATGCTCACCACCAGCCCCTTGTGCACAGGGCCACCTCGGGCAGGTGTGGGGGGGGACTCTCCTCGCTGCACCTGTTCTGGGCCACTCCAAGACTCTGCTGTCACACCGAGGTGATGGCCCCTTAGCCGTTGCCATTTCACCTGTTCTGGTCATGCTTCGGGCAGACCTTGGATACCTTCCTTCTCTTGCCCGACGAGGGCTGCTGCTCCGTAAGCCTCTTTAGCTTTCCTTTTCTCCTTTTTGACTCCTAATACTCTGCCCATCGGAAATGTCATTTGATTGAATCAGAGCCGTGACCCCTTTTGTCTTCCTTGCTGTCCCCTGGTATCTGGAGTTCTGCCCCAGCTCTTCCCTAGATGTGGGTGTGATATTGATGGTGACGTCAAAGCTGGAGGAGCGAAAGCCGGTGTTGGAACCTCTCCTTCCAGAGGAGTGTGCGGCTCACCTCCCAGGATGTGGCCCTGTGCTAGGTGCTGAAGGGGGACCACAGAAGGCAGGCTCAGCGCTGTCCCTCGTCTGTCTTCATTCAGCACTAGCTCATATTCGGGAACACCAGTGTCAGTCAGAGGTGACTGTGGTAGTGTGTGCTATAGAGAACCAGGGGGAGGGTGGCCTTTGGCCATGTGTGTTGTGGATGATGCCTTGGGGGCCACTCAGGACGGCGGTCAGGCTCTGGCTCTGGATCTTCTCACAGGTATCTAAGCATGAGCCTCTTCCGATTGTCCCTCAAGGATACGGGCACCTCCCTCCAGCAGCTCTGCAATAGCGTCCGGCTCTCTGCTAGCTGCTGTGCTGTGAGCAGGTGCCCATCTTACTGTTTCTGGGGATCTGGGCCCTCCGCGTGGTGTAGGGTGTGGGGGACAGGGGTCAGGACTGTGAGCGGGGGTGAAGTCCTGGTGCCTGGATGTGTAGACGACTGTGAGGGCCACTGAGAAGCCCAGGCCTAGGTCACTCCGAGTGTTGAGGCCTGCAGAGCTACAGTGCTGACCACTGCCATCAGCTGACCATTTGTAGTGGCGGATGAGGCCAGGGCCTGGTTCTGCAAGGACTGGGAAGTGGCACAAGGCCCACTGTGTGGTGTGTGGGGGATGATGGCCACTCGAGCGTCACTGCACCCCTTGCCCATCCTGCAGTGCAAACCCACCAGGGTGCAGTCAAAGGGCAGCAGGCGTCACTTTGGGTGGGAGAAGCAGGGGTGTGAAGCCTGGCCAGCCGAGAAGGCCATGCCCTGGGGTTCAAGCTGGCCTTGGGGCCAAGTTCAGGCCCCAGGCAGCAGTCGGGACCTTTCCTGTGTTCACACTCCTTGGATGGCAGAGGCTGAGGGTATCACTACCAGCAAGCGATCAGCAGTGCCCATGCTCCCACTCTGCCAGCGAAGGGGCCCATGTCCTGTTAGGGTCAGGCCTCCCAAGCACCTCCTGTGCTGTCACTGTTATTAGTATGACTTCTCACATCACATGTGAAGAAGCTGGGACATGGAGACCCTTAGTGAGGTGGCCCAGAGTCATCCAAATGGTCAGCGGGGAGCTTTGCTCCACACCTGGTCCCTTGGCCTGAGCATTCCACTCGAGTGCCTCAGGGGGGTGTTACTTAGACAGCAGGAGCCTGGGGTCCTCTGCCAACAGGGCCTAGGTTAGTCTGAAAGAAGTCCCCAGGGAATGGCAGGGTAGGCTGTGAGCTAGCGAGGGTGTGCTCTGAGGGGTGTCCTCTGAGGGGACAGGTGTGTTTTCAGCCCAGGCATGGAGGGCCCTGCACAGGGGAGCCCAAGGGGTGGGGAACCGGAGCAGGCCAAAGCTTGGTCAAGGGGCCCAGGCCTCTGGGGAGTGTGGGAAGGCCAGTGGGGGAGCCAGCTGAGCCCCCTGTACCCACATCACCCTGAGGACATCAGGAGAGAGCCAGACTTTGAGGGCCCCGAGAGGAGACAGGGCTGGACAAGAGTTGCAGAGTCCACGGAGGGAGGCCGTCTCAACCCCACACACCCCTCTCTAGCAAGCTCTTTCTCCCTGATTAATAAATTACACCAGGGCAGAGGGGTATCTTCTGTAGCATTTTAATTTTCAAAATCCCTGTTTTTCTTGTCAATTTTAAGTACTCATTATAGGCAAGATGCTATCACTCCACACACCAAGACACATTTGCATAATTAATGAAGTCTCCAAGGTCACTGCTTGTGGGCTTTGGGAACTTGTTGAGCATCACAAGTGTGGTGCTTTTGAGATGCTGTGTTAGTAGCTGCTGACAGGGCCTATGTGTGGACACCCTAGGTCAGAGGGAGAGGGAACCGAGGCCACATGCCCCCCCCCCGCTCCCCGGCATATCCTGGCTGCCCTTTGCTATAGAGCAGACATAGCAGAAGGAGGGAGCGATGGGATATCTCATGCCTGGGTCGGTGGTTGGATCGGGAAGTTTGGTGCTGATGCGATGACAGGACCCTTTCCAGTAGCCTGCTGGCTCCCTGATCGTCCACTTGAGTCACATGTACAACAGTGGACATTGTGCTGGGCCCAACCAGAAGTAGAATATGGTGGGTTTGACTGAGTGGGGCCCCGGGAATGGGGATGGGGCACCCCCACAGCCCGCGGTCTCCTGCTGGGCTCTGAAGGCCTCTGTGTTGTGGAAGAAGCCATTCAGTTTGTCTGGCGGTGGGTGAGCTTGTCCTGAGCAGCACCTGTGCTTAGACGTGAAGGTGTAGCCACTGCATGGGCGGCTCCATGTAAGCTGTCTGCTGACCGTTGCCATCAGCTATCCTTCAAAGCCCTGGGTGCTTTCAGGGAGGCCTATGTAATGTTTTCTAGCCACCCCAATTTAGGAAGAGCCATTCTTTGCCACTTGAACATGGTATTTTTTTTTGTGTTGTGGTATCAATCAAGAAAGTGACTTCATTGATTGCTAGAGTACACATACTTTATTTCTGTTTCTCTCTTTGTTTTTGGTTGGTTGATCCTGTTCACCCATTAGCTGGCATTTGTTGAGCACCTACTACATGCGAGACACTGCAGCAATGCTGAGATGCACAAAGTCCCTGATGAAGTGGGGTCTAGGGGACTCTTGAGTGCCCTACTCTAGGGGGTGTGGCCTCCCTGTCTGATGTCTGCATTTTCATCTCCAAACAATAATTTTGAATGAATACTTTGAGATATTTTCTAGCTCTGGTACTCAATGTTTCTGTTCTGTGTTCGGGTGACAACTTGAGGAATTCATGGCAGATTCCTTTCTTCAGTGCAGATTCCTCTCTGTCCCCATCTGATGTGGCCCTGCTAACTTCTGCCTCTCCCTGTTCTACCCACCAGCCATGCTGGCCTTCTGTCCCTGCTGAGCCAGGCCTGGCCACCTGAGACCCCTGCATCAGGCCTTCTCTTTCCCTGGAAGGTCTACACCTTGCCCATGTGCTGCCCACCTTCTCAGGAAGGCCGTTCCCACCATGCCGTCAGATTGCCCGGTACCTCTGTCATCCTCGGATAAACCACCAAGTTCTGTTTTCTTTATGACCTGAAAGAACTTGTTTGTTGTTAGCTCTCTCCCCGAGTAGGACAAATATTTATTGAGTAGCTATTGTATGCCAGGCGCTATTTCATACACTGGGAAATAGCAGTTAAAAAAAAAAAAAGAATACAGTGTCCCTTACATTCCAGGGCCCAGGGGACAAAAAAACTAGCCATAAGCAAGAACAGATTCTCTCTTGCACAAGTGTACTCACATTCTGCCAGTGATAAGAACCATCAACAGATGAGAGAAAAGGGTATGATCGGGCTGCTGGTTTAGATGTGGTGTGGTCTCCTTGGAAGAGGTGACATTCAGCAGAGACTTGAGTGAAGGCAGGGTGTGGGTCCCAAGTGCGATTCCCGGGGCGCAGGACTTTGTTGCTCATGGGAATCAAATTTCGTACTCAGGTCTTCAGTCCATCTGAGGTTTACCTGAGAAGGGGCGTGAGGTAGGGGTCTGTTTTATTTTTCTGTGTTGCCAAGCAGTTTCCCCTCCAGTAGCTGTGCCCTGTGATGGTCCTGTGTTTCCAGGACCTGTTCCACATCCTGGTCTCTGCAGCCTAATGTGAAAAGTCACCTTGTCTTCATTTCTCGGTCACTCCTGGATTCTAATACTGTAACTCTTCCGCACATTCTTCTGCAAGGTCCTCCTGCTCTTTATTCTACCATTTTCCAGTTCCATGAATAGTCTCTTGGTTGAAATTGCTTCAAGTTTACTCTCATTTGAGGGGCCATCCAGCCCTTTGAGTCGAGGTCTTCTATTGGTGAACACGGTTCATTGCTCTGTATCTTTCCATGGACTTTAACACCTGTCGGTACAGTTTTGTAATTGTTTCCTAAAGGTAGCCTTTGTTGTATGTTGTAATGTTATTTTGTCATAACCACAATTGAAGATGATTATTGATTTTTTATGGCAGCTAAGGATAAATCGGAGAAGATATTTGCACTGGCATTCGTGAAGCTGATGAGGTACGACGGGACCACCTTGAGAGATGGGGAACACGATCTGATCGTCTACAAGGTAGGCTGTTCTGCCCCTGTTGTGTGGTGCACGTTGACTCTCAGTCCTCTCTGGCTTCCTGACCCACATCTGCTCCCGTTAGGAGAAAGCAGCTGGCTAGCTACATGTCACTATGTATGTGAGCGTTTCTGATGACCAGCCCTTTGATTGTCCTCGTGAGGGAAGCTGATGGCAACACCTTAAGTGCTATATAAAAAGGCTGCAGAGATGAACTGATCTGTGGGAACAAGGGACATTACTAAAATACGTCGCGGAGCACCACCATCTAGCATCAGATGTGGGGTTAGGAGGGCTAAGGGTAACAACCCTGGGCAAAGCCCGCGCTTGGCTGTCTCAGGGCCGTCTGACATGCTGTGTAACGAAACCCGCAGGCCGAGGCCAAGAAACTGGAAGATGCGGCGACATACTTGAGCCTGCCCTCCACGAAAGCAGAGCTGGAGGAGAAGGGCCACTCGGCCACGGGGAAGAGCATGCAGAGTCTGGGGAGTTGCACCATCAGCAAGGACTCCTTCCAGATCTCCACGCTGGTGTGCTCCACCAAGCTGACCCAGAATGGTGAGTTGGGGAAGGAGGACTCCCCAGGATCTTTCCTCTTCAGCCCTAGTCGTTTCCCGCCTGCTTGTGGAGCGGAGGCGTTTCCTGTAGGTGTGTGTGCGTCATTCACTCCAACCTCGGCAGTGACCTGCATGGACGTTGGTGCACTGGAAAGAAGAGGGGGCATCCATCATGATTTAAAATTCACACTCCTATTTTGGTCCAAGGTTTGCCTTTGTGGGAGACGAAGCAGTGGACTGACTCCTTAGAATGCTTTTCAGCCAGAGGAAGGGAGCATGGCACAAGGAAAATGAAAGAGATCTGGAGTCCAAACAAAGACCCGCGATTGAGCCCTGTCCTAGGCCAGCCCTGGAAATGACCTTGAACAGTGTCCTCTGAACTTGGTCTGTAGACGGGGAGTAATTCCTGCCTTCAGGGCTGTCTGAGGGGTGCCTGAGTGGCAGGATACTGGGGCCCACCCTCTTTGTATCTTTCCCTGTCTCAGCTACTCATCAAGATAATTCCCAGTTATTGTTCTTTTAAAAAGTTGGTTTTCTGGTCCCACTTACGATGTGAGATAAGGCACCTTTGTTGACTCACACACACAGAGCTCAGCCTAACACAGCAGATCACTCATCAGCTGGTGCCTGGTGTCCCTGGGCTGGGGCGCTGGACTGCTCAGAGTTCATTACCACCACTCCCAGCCTCCCCAGCAGCACCGCCATAGGCCGGGGTGCTTCGTATTCAGAGCACACGGGCGTTGTTGTTGCCACTGTGTGGAGGAGGGAGAGACTCCTGTGCACAAATCTTTCATTTAAAAATTGCATCCCCTTAATGTGACCATATCACAGCCGTGCAGAGGGACTTTATGCTCTCTTGAAACTGAGCCTGAAAATCCAATTTTTTCCTTCTAACTGCCCGATATGGATTGTGATTATTAATGCCGTTGCTATCAGGCATTGCATCTCTGGGGTTGTCTGTCAATCACGGCAGTAGTTCTGGATTTGTGAGGGGGACAGGCATCCTTTGGACCTTAATGGGATTAACATGGGACAAAAGTTAAACCCCTCATGTGGAGTCTGGACACTGTGGTGGAGGTGTCGGGGTGTCCTGCAGGTTGGGCACGCCAGCCGTGTGTCACATGCTTGTCAGGCTTCCTGCCCTGGGCTCTTTTTCTCTGGCTTGGAGTTAATGTTTGCAGAAATGCTTTCCTACCATTGGCCTCATGAGGAAGCCTCTTGGGGTGTGGGGCAGTAGGTCACTCCAAACGCTTCCTGGCTGTTTGACTGGGACTGGAAGTAGACACTTTAAGGCCACTTAGATACATTTGGGTACAAATGTTTTTAAGGCCATTTGGATGCATTTTTCTAAGGTCACTCATGTTTTGCCTGAAGTATTTTAAAGTGTTCTCGCTGGTGACTGTGCAGGAATCCTCAAGAGCAAATAAAAAGCCTCACCTGAGGATTAGATCTGAGCAGGCTGTCTCAGGATGGGAGTGCATAGAGGGCTTTCAGGCTTGGTCTCAGGGAACCTATGGTCAACAGTGCTGGCCCCATAACAACAAATGTTGTCTTCTGGATGTGACCCAATAGTCCTTCTGTGCCTGAAGACTACAGCATTGGCACCTCATTTCACCCAGTGCAAATGTGGCATCTCCAGTGGGTTGCCAACCCATGTATATGGCACTTTGGGTTTTCAGTAGGTCCTGGACGAGTGAGCTGCTGTGTATTGCCATCATTACTGTGCAGAAAGCCACCGTCTTACGCCTGGATCATGTTCCAAAAGGATATTTGTTATTTGCAGCTTGAATAGATTTTCCTCCTAAGACAATGTTCTGAGTAGCACAGGGAACCCCCGTGTCCCTGGACAGGGCCTGGGAACCAGGAGATCTCCCAGGGCATGGCGTTCATCCCTCCTTTCACCTTCAGGCTCCTTGAATCTCACGGCTTCAGGGTGATTCCCTCCCTGGAACTGAGGGAGAGGGCGCCCTGGACCTGGCAGCAGCTGTTGCCGGGCAACAAGGAAATTTCGCTGTGATGCTGCTCGCGGGAGCAGGGGGGAGTCTCATGGCTTTCATTTCACACCAGCATCGATGCCCCTCCGTGGGATGGTGGCATGACAGGTGTGTACAAGACGGAGTTGCCCCAGTTGGCGCCTAAGCAGCGAGTCCCAGGTTCTCACTTGAGGGAGTCGTTTTTCTGAAGCCATGATTTGTGACCGCGAGGTTCCATTACTTAGGGACAAGCAGTAGCTGAATATTCAACGAGGTTTGTGTTAAATACCGCTGTCCTCTGCATTATGCTGGCCGCCGTCGGAGATATGAGAAGAAGTGTGAGGTGGTTCCCCTGCTCGGTTAGCTTACTGTGTAAATAGAGGGAAAAGATGATGAAGTCCCAGGAATAAGGCATGGAGGAGGAAGAGCCTCATGGGACTTGGTGGCCCTTGGGGACTGGCAGCTCTGCTTTCTTCCTCCTCTGAGGTGATCTACTAATAAGCCCAGTTGGACTTTTTCTCCAGTTTGCAGTACGGAGGTAGAGCCCAGCTCACCTGCTGCCAGCTTCCCATGAATAGGATCAGATTATGATTTGGACTCCACTGAAAACTGGTTGTCACTTGTGAGATGGCAGTCGCCTTTAACCTTGGGACCAGGAGCATGCCAGGGCAGGCTGAAGCCTTTCCCATGACTTCAGTTTCACTTAGAAATTGAAACATGTGAACTTTCATGATGAATGAATCCGTTTCCAGTTCCAGATCACACCGTTGTCAGTATGTTGTGTGTGCCGGAGTGGGCTGTTTCTTACACTGACTGTGTCTGCTCACTCCACAGCAGTCCTGCGAATTTTTGCAACATCGTTCCCATTGTTCAGATGAGAAAGCAGGGGAAGCTAACTTTAGCACAGGGTCCTGTGCTTGCTGCCTTCAAGCCCAGGCATATGTATTGCATGGAGAATGTGGGGCTGCCTACTGTTGGTTTCAATTCTGTCCTCTGCCAGCTATAATTGCAGTGAGGTCAAATAAATGAAATATTTTTTTCTTTTCAGTATTAACTAAAAGTTTTTGTTTTGTTTTTAATGGTTATACTTTTTATAGGTGAAGTTGGTTCCTGATGAACATAAATTAGATGCACTTGGCTAACTGCATTTTTTTCAAGTAATGGGACATTAGTAAAACTCCTCACGACATCGTATAAGCCGAGGTCCTTTCCTAGAGAGGCTGTGGGTTCTGTCTTTCCACCTTAGAGTGGAAATCTTGTGTCTTAAACAAAATCCTTTAAACTTAAAAAATTCTTTAAGACCTTAAAAATCAGCATATGTAATCCTTGATTTTTCTGTTGAAAAGGCTGAGGGGGCCCGATGTAAACAAAATCACAACAGTTAGGACAGCGAGCAGCTCCAGAAGCCAAGCAGGAAGCTCAGCTCCTAGTGGTCTCAGTAGCACAGGGTTGTTGTAGCTCCAAGGTCCTTGTGGGATGGTGGCTTTGCAGTTTTAGTGTCTGAATTTGTATGAATTATTTTATATCAATTTATCTAAAAAAAATTTAATAAATAAATAAATAAAAAGAAAGCCTAAAGGCTTTTCTCCAATGGAGAAATCCACTTGGCAGGAGCTACCAGGTAGCAACTTCCGGGTGGGCAGCCTCCTCCAGGTCCTGTGGCCCCTGCAGCTGCCTTCCTGAAGGTCCAGAGGTCAGTCTTTTCAGGCTCCCAAATGCATCCTTACAGCTTCTACCCGGAAGCCACCCCATGGTAAATGTAGATGGAAATAGACTCAGTGTGTTGCTGCAAAGCAGGCGAACCTTTTGAAATAGGGTTGATTTTTTCTATTAAAATTTAACGGGGACCCTGGTCTGCTGTGGCGTGGGAGGCAAGGGGGATGAGGCCATTGCTGCGTGCAGAGCTGACTGTCTCTCTGCTTGCAGTGGGCCTCCTGGGCTTGCTGAAGTGGCGCTCCAACACCAGCCTGCTGCAGCAGAATCTCCGGCAGCTCATGAAGGTGGACGGCGGTGAAGTGGTGAAGGTAACATGGGCCCTGCCTAGGGACTTCACTGATGGATGGAGGCGCTGACCCCATGGCTGCATAGGGTTCTGGGTATAATCCTGTTCACTCGCAGTGCACCCCCTCCGAACGGGCAGAGTGTGCTGGGATCCTCGTGTGGGAGGCTGCAGGGTCAGCCTGGAGTTTTCTGTGGCCAGTCTCCTGGGTTCCATTTCCTCCTCTCATGGGTCCTGTGCAGTGCTGGCCACAGCTGCATGGCCTCTGCAAGTCCCACTTTCACTAACGTGAGGTGGAATCATGGTGGTGTCTTGTCTGGGGGATTGTCGAGAGATCTGACAGCCCGCATCTGGCATGCTGGGATATGCTGTGCCCATCGTGACCTGTAACCCTGACCCACACCTCCTCCAAGTCCTTCATCTGAGGCCTGGTGACCGTGTGGTGCGGCACCCAGCACAGCGCTGAGTCTACCTTGCTCATTTTATCATTTTCTTCCTTATGATCTTGGACTGTTTCTCACCTCACACATCTGCTCTGGGGGTGTGTTGGGTACGGCCATTTCCTCTGGCCTTCTTTGCTCAGTGTCTGAGATCTGGCAGTGGGATGGAGTGGGGTGATCCAAGATCCCTTTGATCACTCAGATCCTGGATTCTTGTTCTGTGATTGTTCATGGTGCTGGTATGTCTACCAGGATGGGGTGCTTCTTCTCTCATGCACCACACCGAGGTGCTTGAACGATTTTCCTTGCATGTGAGGAAATGCACTATTATTTCCAGTGTGCTTTGGGTGGATCAGGGACATTACCTGCTCACCAGCATGCAGCGTGTCCTGAGAAAGGTCTCTGCAGCGACGTCTGTACATTCCTCACCCTCCATGAGAAGTGCCAGGGAAGGGAGCCTGCCTTATCTCTGCAAAATTAATTACTTAAAATGGCCTTAATTAACCAGCAGTGTGCTTAACTTCAGAATGAATTAATCTGGTTGCACGACTTTCCTAAATTCCTTGTATAACAATTCAAACATATCCTTGCTAATCTTACAAATTTTAATCATCTTCTCAGTCCTAGCCCTCTACCAATGGCGTGGACAATGTTAATTGCATTTTAAACTTCTCCGGGTTCTATAAATTCCCCAGTTCAAATGGAAACGGGGTGAGTACGTGAATGTACTTTAGAAGACACACAGCTAATGAAATTTTGTCCTCTTTCATTTTAAGTCTCCGTGTCACATCAGGAAGTCTCTGTACTTTTGTTGACCTTTTGTGGCTTACCAGGAAAAATGGAGAATCCTCTTATCCTGTTCCCCACCCCTGGGTCCTGTCACCTCTGCCTGTTGATCCCTGGGAAGGATTTCCCCATCTCTCCCACCTTCCTGTGCACACGGGTACCCAGGTGGCCGTCTCACCTCACCTACTGACTTGGTCTTCTACCTTTGCTGGCTTGTCCTACAATCTTCTGTGTGCCCATAGAGGTGACCTGAGTGTCCAGGCCACTGGCTGTTGATGGCCAGGGCTTAGGAATTCTCTGGCTGTTCAGGGATCCTTTGGCTTCACTTAGGGACACTGGCTGGTCATGGGTTCGGTTCCGTCTGTTGGAGGCCTCCTTTCTGTATATTTATAACTGATCCTGGAGAGAGGGCCTTCTCTGATAGATTGAGGAAGGTTTTATATATTTAGTTGAAGCAATGGTCTCCCATTCCCACTGGAGAGTGAAAATGGTGGTTTTGTTTCTCCAGCAGGTGGTCTCAGAGACAGGGAGGGGTGCCTGCAAAAGCTGTGTTCTGGCTCCACGTGGGGACCTCCTTGCCCTTCTCATCCCTGACCACAGGTCTCTGCAGCCATGTGAGGGAGGCTCCACTCTCTCCACTGCTGTTTCTGGGCTACTGAGCAGGTCACTGATCTGGGTGGGACTGGCCAGCCTCCTTTGGGGTTTGCAAGAACCAGCGAGCCAGGGCTTGGTACCTGGAAACTGGTTGGCAGAACATTAGGTTGTTAGCAGATGGTGACCAGATTTGACTTTGGTGAGGAGTTACACTCTGGAAATAATGGGAAATGCTACGGGGTAATAAGGTGGTGCAAACCCAGATGATCTGAGAGTTTCTCCAGCCCTTGTTGTCTAGACTAGAGAGCCTTTGGGTCAGGGTGGTTTTATTCTCTGCCATTTGTATGTGACGTGTTCTGGTATAACCTGGGGGCTGGGCAGCACAGTGGAGTACGGTGAAGACTCGGGCCTAGGTGAGTCTGGGATCTCCTGCTGGGCATGGGGGCTGTCCTCCTTCCCAGAGGAGAGCTGTGAGGCTTCTGCCTCTGTGGCCGGTTCCACCACACCGAGCACAAGTTTGTTTCCTGATCTCAGGCTGTGACACTTTGAGACCCTCTGTGTGGTCTGGAAGGACCTCTGATACTGGCATAGGCTGGACCATTGAGGAGAATCCAGACCCCATGTGATTCAGCCACCCTTTGATGTTCTTGCTATGGAGCTACCTTACGCCCTCTTCCTTGTTAAAAGTGATGGTTTAATCAAGGTTATATTCATAGACCATAAAATCCACCCCTTTATTCTGTCCAGGTCCATAGTTGCTGGTGTAGTGCAGTCACTACCACTGTTTTTTTTTTTTATCTTTAATTAAAATTTTTTTTTATCTTTAATTAAAAAATTAGGGTAAAATATGCGAAACAAAATTCATTGGCAGTATAATTTTTAAAAAATTTTTAAAAACTAATTAATCAATTAATTTGTTCTAATTTGTTATACATGATAGCAGAATGCATTTCAATTCATAGTACACATATGGAGCACAGTTTTTCATTTCTTTGGTTGTACACAAAGTAGAGTCACACCATTCACATCTTCATACATGTACTAGGGTAATGAAGTCCATCTCATTCCACAATCTTTCCTACCCATTTTCCCCCTCCCTTCTCTTTACCCTATCCAAAGTTTCTCCATTCCTTCCATGCTCCCCCCCGCCCCCCCATTATGGATCAGCATCCACTTATTAGAGAAAACATTTGGCCTTTGGTTTTTTGGGATTGGCTTAAGTCACTTAGCATGATATTCTCCAACTCCATCCATTTACCTGCAAATGCCATAATTTTATTCTCTTTTAATGCTGAGTAATATTCCATTGTGTATATATACCACAGTTTCTTTATCCATTCATCTATTGAAGGGCATCTAGGTTGGTTCCAAAATTAAGCCGTTGTGAATCGTGCTGCTATAAACATTGATGTGGCTGTGTCACTGTCACTGTAGTATGCTAATTTTAAGTCCTTTGGGTATAGACCAAGGAGTGGGATAGCTGGGTCAAATGGTGGTTCCATTTCAAGTTTTCAAAGGAGTCTCCATACTGCTTTCCAGAGTGGTTGCACCAATTTGCAGTCCCACCAACAATGAGGGGCCTTTTCCCCCACATCCTCCCAACAATGATTGTTGTTTGTATTCTTAATAGCTGTCATTCTGACTAGAGTGAGATGGAATCTTAGAGTAGTTTTGATTTGCATTTCTCTAATTGCTTGAGATGTTGAACATTTTTTCATATATTTGTTGATTGATGTATCTCATGTTCTGAGAAGTGTCTGTTCAGTTCCTTAGCTCATTTATTGATTGGGTTATTTGGTTTTTTGGTGTTAAGTTTTTTGAGTTCTTTATATAGCTTGGAGATTAGTGCTCTATCTGCTGTGCATGTGGTAAAAATTTGCTCCCATTCTGTAGGCTCTCTCTTCACCTCACTGATTGTTTCTTTTGCTGAGAAAAAACTTGAATTTGAATCCATCCCATTTATTGGTTATTGATTTTAGCTCTTGCTCTATAGGAGTCTTATTAAGGAAGTTGGGGTCTAATCTGACATGATGAAAAAAACTTGTAGAACTAATAAGTGAATTTAGCAAAGTAGCAGGATATAAAATCAACACCCATAAATCAAATGCATTTCTGTACATCAGTAATGAATCCTCTGAAAGAGAAGCTAGGAAAACTACCCCATTTACAATAGCATCAAAAAATAAATAAATACAATACTTGAGAATCAACTTAAGAAAAGAGGTGAAAGGCCTCTACAATGAAAACTACAGAACACTAAAAAAGAAATTAAAGAAGATCTTAGAAGATGGAAAGATCTAGTTTGGTTTTAGATAGGCAGAATTAATATTTTCAAAATGACCATACTGCCAAAAGCACTATACAGATTTAATGAAATTCCAATCAAAATCCCAATGACATTCCTCATAGAAATATAAAACGCAACCATGAAATTCCTCTGGAAAAATAAGAGACCCAGAATAGCTAACGCAATCCTTAGCAGGAAGAGTGAAGCAGGTGGCATCACTACGCCAGACCTTTTCCTTTGCATGGCCAGTCCCACTCCGTGGCGTGCTGCCTGTGCGAGGACCCACCACCAGGAGCCCACCCCTCCAGTCCATCCTACCCTCCCTCACGGGAGCAGGGGGAGGGCCTGGCTCCTTCTGCTGTGCTCACCCTGGAAGCCTCGTTTTTCCTAACTCCCGGTGCCTCTGTTCTGCAGGGTCCTGTTCTTGGTGAATTTTAGTAGACTAGAATTGATGGGCTCTGGTTGGAGGTGTGTCTCTGGCCCACTGCTGGGGACGTCAGCTTCGGAATCACACTCCTCTTCTGTCCTTGGGCGTTCTGCCTGGTGGAAGGCCCTTTCTGTTCTCAGCAGGACCTGACCCTGTGTGGCTTCATCCCTCGCTGGCTCATGTCCTGCACTTAGTGTGTGCAGACAGATCAGATCCTTCTTCCTGGAGTAGCTACCCAGTACTTGGTCACCAGCTTTATGGGAACCGGACTGAGGGCGGGGAGGGTTCCGGGCTGGGTTGGGGTGGGGTCTGCAGCTCTGGCCCCCCTCTGCTTCCCTCGGGTGACGTGTCTGCTTGGGATTCACTCCCGAGGTTTATTCCTTGAGCATCTAATGGCTGAAAATCCCTGGATGTTAGGTGCTTTATGGGCAGCCCTGGGGCCAGGTGGGTGTTTGGGGTCTTACCAGAGGCAGTGGGGTTCTAGTTTGGGGGACTGGGTGCCATGACGGTCTCCCCTGAGCTCTTGTGTCTGTGCAGTTCCTGCAGGACACCCTGGATGCCCTCTTCAACATCATGATGGAGAACTCGGAGAGTGAGACTTTCGACACCCTGGTGTTTGATGCTCTGGTAAGGGGCCTTCCCTTCCCTGCTGGGGCTTTTCCTGGTGCGACCTGGGGCGGGTGGGGGAGCTGCCCACTGTCCCCTCAAAGCAGGACTTGTGAATCAGGTCAAAGGGGAGGCATTGGCAGGCGGAAATTGCCTTTCCATGTGGAACTGTAGTTATGCACGCGCCTTGTCGGGTGGGAAGATATGAAGGGGGACTGGCTTCTGCCTGGAAATGTCATAGTCCATTTCCTCTCATAGACCTGCCAGATGAAGGCTCCGGAATGGTTATCATCATGTTGTGAACGAAAATATTGTTGATTAATTTGACAGGTTTTTATCATTGGACTAATTGCTGATAGAAAGTTCCAGCATTTTAACCCTGTTTTGGAGACCTACATTAAGAAACACTTCAGCGCGACGCTGGCCTACACGTGAGTTCTTTCATTTGTTCTAAAACCAGCGCTTCTCTTTCTTGAATGGTTAATATTTAGAGTCTTTTTTTGTACGACTTTTGGCTGTGACTGTACATTTCCCTCTTTAAAACCTTGAACTCACTGGGATAATTTTTATTAACTGTTTCCCTCTTAACAGACCTAACAATCTTGTTGAAAGAGATACGTGATAAATTATCCTAACGTTCTGGAATGAATTCTTCTTCTCCTCCCTACTTTCCGTTTATCTTTGGAGATTTTTGTTCATGTTCGATGAGGCTGATCTGTGGGTGCAGAGCGTCTGCCACACTTCAGGTCCCCAGCAGGCACTAGAGTTCATGGGTGCACTCCTGTTGGGAGGTGGCTGGTCCTGTGGTGTGCATACAATGCGGTTTGTTCTCTTAGTGTATCTCCTTGCCTTCCCTGTGGCTCCACAACACTCAGCTCTAACTGACTTGTATTCTTGGTACACACCCAGTGTCCCAAAGGTACCTGAGAGAACGGCAGCACACCTGGGCTGTACCTGGGCCTCGAGGTTGACAGTGTAGTCTTGGAGTCCGGCTACACTCTGTCACTTAGAAGCTCTGTGATCTTGGGCAAGTTGACCACCCTCTCTGGTTTTCAGCCTTCTTGTCTGTGGAAGAGGACATGGCTATAGAGTTGTTTGAGAATTTTAATGGGTTATTACATGTAGAGTGTTTGGGAAAATCCCTGATGCTTAGAAAGCAGTAAGCAGTTGTTGGGTTTCATTATCATTAGAGTTATTATGGTGTGTGACTTGCTTTCTCCTGGTGGGATTTATTGGCATTTCTTCTAAGTTTGTATTGTGCAGGTTGCAGTGAAAATAAAGATTCACAACATTTCTTTAAGAACAGAATCACTGGAAATCATTCTTTCTAGTGTCCACAGATTTGAGTCCCAGATCCCATCTGGGTTTTGAGTAGTTAAAATCTGTACTCTCTGCCTGTGTGTAGCCTCAAGCTCAAGGTCACACACGGGGTTCTGCCTCCAGAAGCTGGCTGGTGACCACCTGGTCTGTGCCTAGACCTTTCCTGTCCTGCCTCGCCTGCATCTTTATTGCAGGCTGGTGGGTGGAGCCGCCAGGTGGGCAGAGAGATGCAAAATGACCTCAAGCGTGTAGAGCAAGCTGCGACCTGTCTTTTATGAGTCTTTGGCTAATAAATTTTTGTTTAAAACGTTTTGTTTGCTCAGTGGAGATGGCAGTTTGTTTTCGTGATGAGTAGCTCTTCACAGACCTCAGGGGATGGAGGTTGAGTGGGGTCTTCTCACTGTGGCTGCTGAGACCTGACCCTGCAGGTTCGTGGCTGTGACCGGGGTTGCTGTGAGTGTGAGATGATGTCCATGTGTGGCTGCCATCCTGATTCTCCTTGTCTGAAGTGGCCAGACAGCTCTCTTCGGATTAGACTTTGCACTTTAATTTCAGAAAAGGACAGCAAGGACGAGCTGGGCACACGGTCCGCCCTTGCTGGCACCAGCCTCTCTGTGCTGTGCTGTTGGGGGAGGGGTGCTCTCATGTTCCCAGCCAGAAAAATGAAAATGGGGGAGTTCCGGCAACTTGCTCAATGGGAGACACATAACAAAGGACCATTTTATCTGTCATCTCTGCTGGGACTGAGATAAGAACCAACAATAAAAAATTAAAAAAAAAAAAAAAAAAGAATCAGTACCCTCCCATTCAGTCTCTGCAAATGCAGCAAGGGCCCGGCTTTATTTTGGAAAATAAGTATTCTTATCATGTTTTGATCAACTATCCAGCTCAGGTGGGTTCTCAGCAATTGGAACATGAGTATTTATACCTTGAGATACCAGAGGAGTCAGTATTGATCTCACAGTTCTAACCAAATCAGGGAGCACTGCCTTCTACAGAGTCTCCTTCCTTCGGTAAATGTTGTGAGAGTTCTTCCCATTTTTACCTCTGCCAGAGAAGAAATAAAGGATTTGGGCAATGGGAATGACTGTTTTTGCACCCTGCATAGGTAGCTCTCAGAGGCCAGTCATCATGGAAGTGACCAGCTCTGGTCCACGTGAAAGGGAGGGAGGTGTTAGCTTTGGGGACTGTCCTACAACGTAACCAGCACCACCGGTCTCCTTTCTGTCCACCGAGCCGTGTCTCATGGAGTTGCTGCCGGCTTCTCACTGACAGAATGGATGCTCCCTTTGATCTGAAGCTGCGTGCTCCCTCCAGGGGGCTTGATCTTTGTGTACCTGTGAGATGGCCTGGCAGAATTATTTTCTGGTTCTGGGTTGTTCTCTTTGTGAGTCATTATTGTTTTTCATTCCTTTCTTTGATTAATTTGTTGGAAGAATTCCCAAAGTGTGTACTATGAATTCTTTTTTTTTATTTTTAGAGGTGATATTAATGGGGTGAAAGGAAAGGTACCCTCACGTTTGGGAACATAATTTAAGAGGAGTAAAACAGACCTCATGCCAGGACCCGAGATAGGCCTGTGCATCTGGGGCCTCTAGGAGATGCGGATGTGAACTTGCTCTTGCAGTGGGTGGGCCTTGGCTCTGGACCCCAGAGTGGAGGATGCCGCACACTCAGATCCCAGTGGCAGGCTCCTCCGGGAAGTTAGCTTCCTCACTGGAGTTCAAGGACCTGAGCAGTGTTAGAAATGCCTTCACGTCTGCCCAGGCACCCAAAGGCTTTTTATTGTGACTTCTTAGTAAGGTGGCCTATGTGGCACTTGTGAGTCCTGATGCAGGTCTAGAGGAACAGACTGGCAATGCTGGCTCAGAAGCTAACCAGAAAAGTTGTGTGCACCTGAGCAGACTCCTGTTGGGAGTGTGGTGGGTGCTTGGAAGCCACAGCGAGTTCTTGAGTATATGAAGTCTCCAGTCGCCACCTTTTTTTGTTAATTTGGTTACACGGCTCTTCTCACTGGTCTTTGGGGAGGTCTGGCCCAGGCCAGCTGTGGGAAACCAAGGCCGCGCTGAAGCTCCTTTAGCAGTGCTTTCCTGAGTCAGAAGACGGTGCTTGGGAGTGGGCAGGTACTACTCTATTAGGGGCTAGTGGCAGTAAGACGTGTAGAAGTCTGAACTGGATTAAAATCTGCTTATTTCCACTACTGCCTTCATCGGTTGAAAATAAGCCATCCTCCTGGTAAAAAACATTTTTAAAGATTACATTGCGGACAATGAAAGCCTCTGTGTGTAGCGCTGCTCCTTGAAGATAGCCACTGCGTCTGGGTTTATTCTCCATGGCCGTGTTGACATCATCACTGTGCGATGGTACACTGCTTATTTACAAAATGTTATTTTTGCTTATTCAAAATTGAAAGGCTTCTTTTCATTGTTACAATGTGTATACGGGAAAACTCACTTGATGAGTTTGGACAGTTGTTTACATCCTTATGACCAATGCCCAAGACAAGATCTAAAACCATTGCCACTCCCCAGGGAGACCCCTCTGGCCCTCTGAGTCAGTCCCACCCATAGAAGCAGGTCCTCCCTGGTTTCTGTTCCCATGCATTGCTCTGCCTGCCCTGGGATTGGTGGTGGTGCGTGCTCCTTGTGTCCGGCCTCTTCCTTCCACGTGGTGCTTTGGAGGCCATCATTGCTTGATTCTGCTTTTCTGGTGGCTGTGCACCTGTCCAATGGGTGCACTGCCCCAACTCGTGTGTCTGTCCTCCTGTGGCTGCAGGAGTGTGTCTTTCTGGATTTTGCTTATTACAAATAAGGCTGCTGTGGACGGTCTGTCTGCTCTCTCTAGACATTGTTTTCATCCCCTGGGTGTGCACTTAGGACCAGGGTAGCGGGAGCAAAGGTGCTGTGTGGTTTACTCCACAAGGAGTTGCCCCTTGGTTCTCCACAATGCCTGTGCCATTTGTAATCCCCCCGCAATCCCTGGGCATTCCGTGCACAGTATATCCTCATCAGTATTTCCCATTGTCTGGCTTTTCATTTAGAGCCATTGTGAGGAGGACAAATTGCTATCTCTGTGATTTTCATTATTGGAAACCTGACGACTTAAGATAGTTAGTGCCTATTTATTTTTTATTTGCTAGTTTTGAGCGGATTGTTTACATCACCTTTTAATTTTTGATTCTTTTGCTTATCTTTTTAGTATTGATTTGTAAGAGATCTCTATATACACACATGCACATGTACATACACAGACAGAGATGGACAGAATCAGACATGAATTTTGAACCCTTTTCCCTGATTGTGCCTTGATGATCCTTTTGGTGTCTTTTGATGAGCAGAAATTTGAAATTTTTTGTTTTATCATTTTAAAAGACAATTATGGATTTCAGTTCCATGACTAAAATGTCTTTGCCTGACCGAAGGTACCATCAATACCTGTAATGTCCAATCTCACAGCACTGGACTCAGGAGCTACTTAAATAAAATTAGATTGAAAATCCATTTTCTTGCTTGCACTACGTCCATTTCAAGTGCCCCTTTGCCACATATGGTGAACGGCTGCCACGTTGGACAGCTCAGTTACGGAGGACTCCCATAACTGCAGGAAGTTCTGTTGGCACCAACGGAACATTAGTAGCTCTGTGCTTTTAGCTTGAAGTCTCAGTCAAGCAGAAAATGCATTTAATGAAAGTCAGCATCCATTTATGATCAAACCTCTTAGCAAAGTAGGAATGGATGGGAAATTCTTCAATCTGATAAAACAAAACAAAAATTGGACTGAAGTTGTAGCTGACCTCATACTGAGAGCTTCACTTTGACAGTCTTTCCCTTAAGTTTAGGATCAGAGCAAGGATGTCAGTTCTCTCTGTCTGTTTAGTATTATGCTGGGACTGTGCAATAAGGCAGGAAAACTAGCTAAAAGGGGGGAAAAAGCAATGAACTGAATCCTCACATAGTGTGATTATGCACATGCAGAATCCAGTGTGAGATAAGCCTCAGACCAAACAAACAGAAAAATAATCACTAGAACTAGTAAGTGCAGGAAAGTTGAGCCACAAAACATAGTGTAATAGTTCCACAGGGTAAATGTAAGTCAACACATCACATTATATTCCTTAAGTGTTACGATTTTTTTATAAAAAATGCCAAGTTACATATCATAACAAAACATAACCCCAAAAGAACAATCAGTTTTGTGCGTACAAATAATTGGGAAATTAAATTAAAAGTATTGTGCTATTTACTCTCTACTATTGAAAAAATCATCAGATACCAGGGAACAAATTTAATAATAGATGGGTGAAACCTCTGCGCCCCCCCCCCATTGTAAAACATTGCCTAGAGAAATTTAACGAGAACTAAATAAAGGTGCATACTATGTTCATGGATTAAAAAAAATCTCACTTGAATGTCCATTTTTTCCAAATTAATCTATATTTCACCACAATCCCATTCAAAATTCTAATATGCTTTTGTGAAAAATTGGTTAACTGATTTCAAAATTTATGTGAATATACAGAATGTCTAGACTACTCCAATAAATTTTTAAAAGATGAAACTGATTTCAAGACTTAACTATTTGCAGGAACACAAATCATGTGGTATTAGCATAAAAATGGCCAAAATATCAGTGGGAGAGAGTGCAGAATACAGGATGGACTCACAGTACACCTTCTGTCTGTGCCTTGTTTTCTTTTAACAGCATAGCAACGTAACTAGCCTTTCCCATGGTAGTAATGATGGAGTTTCCCCCTCCAGCCCCAACATCTGTATTTAACAGTGTGCAATATCCAATGTAGGATGTATCATAATTTATGTAAGCAGTCTTCAAATGGTGGACATGTGCACCGTTTATGTATTTTTATAGACAAGGCTGCAGTGAACATGATTTAATACATTTGTAATTGCTTTGGTATGGCAGATTATTAGCAATTGCTGTTGTCAAAAGATTTGACTATTTTTAATTGAAATGGATGTTGCTGATAGATATTGTATCATGTATTACCAGTTTTCCCTCTAAAACTGCCCCCTGTTTATTCTAGCAGCAGTGGTATGGCTTCCCCATATCTTGTCTATCCTAGGCAGAGTTTTACTTCTTATTATGTTATTTACTTGCTTTAGCAAAGCTGGGGATGGAACCCAGGGCCTGGCACATGCTTGTCTGGTGTCTCCCAGGTAGCCACACCCCAGTCTTGTTATCTTAATATCCATGTAGTTATTTATTAATAGAGTTGATTATTTAAAAAATATATTTCTCAACTTTTGCTTATTTAAATTAACCTTCTTTACATATCCTGAGGCTTTGACTAAATCTGTTTTCATTTGAATTTGCTAGTTTTTTGAAATTGAGCAAAATGGAAAAAATTCAATGCTTTTTCCTTTGTTTTTACTCAAACTTTTAAGAACTGTATCTATAAATTAAATGCTTAATTTATAAGGCTATGAATTACAGCCAAATTTCCAATGTATAATTTATTTTTATCAATTTTCTATAACAACATCTGTGGTTTGATTGGAAGTGTAAAAAGAATCCCAATTATTATTTTTTTTGTGCTATAAACTGTCTAAACTGTCAAAAATAAGGTTCTTAATGTTTTCATGTTAGGAATTATTTTCAGCTCACAAGTTATTAATACAAGGACCATGGGAAGTGCAGTCATCATGCTTTTAAAGTTAATAATATGGAGGGGATTCTGTTATTAAATAATGTTAAAAACTGTTAAACATTATCCATCCATATGAAGTCATGTATCCACTCATGTTATTTTCATATATTGTTTGTACCTTTTTAATATGAATCTTAGATAATCCATTAAAAATTTACCAATGTTTCCTATTTGAAATTTGGCTTCTAAAGCTTTCATTTTCAATGTAAGAACTCTGGTTTTTGAAAAATCTATGAAAATGAGGAGAGGTGGTGGAGTCGATTTCCAGTAACAAATACTGTTTATCGTGCCCTTTTTATTGTGGTGGAATACCCCATCGAGAACTTTACTCACCCAGTATAGAATGCACGGTCCCCCGCCCGCGCTGAGAGCCCGCGCTAGGCGTTAGTTCCAGACACTTCCAGAATATGTTTCTGGAAAAACAATCGTGGCTGTTTCTCTGTGGTGAGGATCTTCTTGGTTTTGTCGTTTCGCCTTGTCTTCCTCATCTGCAAAGCAAGGTTAGCACCACTTCACTGAGTTACTGTGAAACTAAGTTAATACACGAGCCGACTTAGAACCACAGCTTGAGGCCAGGAAGTGATTCTGAAGGGCTTAGACCTGGGTCCCCAAGAGGAGACTTCTATGAGTCAGCACACACTGACGGGAGGAAACCAAGATGAAATAACAGGGAAGAATTAAGAGGTGTCCGTTCTCTGAACTTACTCTGCCATGTTTCCCCCCTCAACAGGAAGCTGACAAAGGTTTTGCGGAACTACGTGGACAGTGCCGAGAAGCCAGGAGTGAATGACCAGCTGTACAAAGCCATGAAAGCGCTCGAGTACATCTTCAAGTTCATCGTGCGCTCCCGGGTCCTGTTCAACCAGTAGGTGTCCTGAGAGGCCTCCTTTCCTTCTCCCGCCCTCTCCTGTCCCCTCTGTTCCCTTCCCCTCTTCTCCCTCCTTCCTCTCCCTGCTGTTAGCCTGGCAGAGCACCCATCATCAGGGAGCCAGGGTGGGGCGGCCCACACTGACCGCTGTGCCCCTGTGCGGTCCCTCGGGAGCTGGCCAGGGCGGCCAGGGGGCGTGCCGGCCGCTGTTGCTGCCTGCTGGAGGTGTTAATGACGCTCCCCATGTCCTGCTGGGTGCTGACCAGGGCTCTGGGCTTCTTCTCAGTATGTCTTTATATAGCAAACAGCCCCAGAAGAGCAAGCAAAGGGAAACAGGCAGCAATACTGAAATCACCTCACCCGGGAGACCCGGGGCTCCCTCCTCCCCTCTCCTCAGCCAGAATAGAGCTTCATTTCCAGGAAGATGCTCCTCACACATCATTTGCAGGTGAAAGGACCTGAAAGGTGTTTCAGACCAGTGACATGGTTTTGTACCATCTGGGTGACCCGGATTGATTTTGAGCTTTAAAGTACATTGGGTCATGTGTGACTTTATTATTCTGTAGTATTAATATTTTATACATTAACATTTATTAAGAGCTGTGCTAAATAAGAGAGCTTTCTGTTGGCCCCACTGGGACCTTTCACTGTAGGATAGAAGCCATGTGGAAACGGCTCGTGTGAGCGTTGGGTGTTGAAGTGAACGTGCTCTGAGTGCCGTTTTGGAGGTGACCTGCCATGAGCCGGGTTGGGGGATGTTGGTCATTGTGGTTTCAGGCTCGTCCTGTAGTGTGTTCTGCTCACAGAGATGGATTCATGGACCCACGTCCCTGTGAGTCAGAGAATACCCATTGCCTTTCAGAGCATAGCACTCATGCCTCATTATGAGTGAAAACGGGGTTGAAATGGGTCCCGGATCCGTACCTTCCTCTTTCCTCTTCATGTTGTCTTCATTTGCCTGAATCAGATGTGCCCGGAAGAGAGGGAGAGAATGCAGACCCCGGCTTGTGCTGGTCAGAGCCACAGCAGTTCATTACAGCAGTCACAGGAGGGAGGAAGCCCCAGGGTCGGGGTCCAGGCCCGTCAGAGGACAGAGTGCCATTTCTGTGTAGAAAACCCACCCCAGGTTGGGTGGCATTGGCTTCTGTCCTTCACTAAGATCTGCAACAGGCTCATTGACGTTGCTCATAGTGGCCAGGTATGACCCTTTCTGAGGACCCAAGCTTTCTTTTATCCAAGGTCTAAGCTGCCAGCGATTTTCTCACTGGTGGGACTGAACAGGTCAAGGTCGTCTAGCCTGGGTTTTCCCATATTTTGTCTGATTTCATCTCAGTAAATTTAATTCTGAAAACGGACTTCTTGGCTTCCTCTGTTTTGCTTTTGTGTTTTTTTTTTTTTTTTCCTTGTGAATTTTAAACCCTTGGTTACTCTAAATCAAAATCTGTACTAAGTGGAAGGGTGAACTTGAAAGAAGGCAACAGTTGGGTCGTGTGGATTTTCTCATGTTTTGTTTGAAAACTTCTAACCTGGTGCCATTTGTGACCCCCCTGGTGTTGAGTCTGGGATTTGATGGTGTGTGTCTCTTCTTCAGACACACCGAGGATTTTGCTGTTCATTCGTAGTTGAAAGAAATGTATGTTGATGACCAGGGTTTTGTGCTGTCCTGGAAAGCGCTCAGGTCTTTTGTATAGCAACATGCTTTAGAGATGGAGGTCTCCCCTGTGGACCAGTAACAAAGTCGTCTCTGTTTCTCTTTTCAGTTTCAAAATACAGATGGCATAAGACCTTTGAACCCTGGTCCATAAAAGTCGTGGGCTTGCTCGTCTTGTGGTGGTCAGGAGTGTGATTGGCTGGGTGCAGCAGGAGCACCCAGGGTGTGTGGCTTTGCCAGATGAGGTTCCTTTTGTTTTCCCCACACGACTTGGAGCCCAGAGGAAGGCATGGGATTGCATTCACTTGCTGCTTTTATCTTTCTGCCCCCCCATCCTTAGGGTCTGTCTCTTCATCTCGGGTCCCTACGTGGCTCCTGCCTTCCTGATGTCAGGTCTGCACTGCAGGAAGCAGGGGGGACGCCCAGGCAGGGACAGCTCCGCCCACCCCTGTCCTTGCAGAGGGCTCCTCCCTCCTTCTGCAGGCTGTGTTCTTCCACCTCAGTGGCAGAGCTGTCACATGACCACCCTAGCTGGAAAGGAAGGGCCTTCTAGATGGGTTTGTTGATGCTTTCACCAAAATCGGAGTTTCTGGGAGAAGGGTACCATGGATGGGGCTACGACACTCTTCCTTGTTCTTTAACCCAGAACGTCTGCCACCTGGGAGCTGAGAATCTCCCTCACTGCCAGTCACTAGTCCTTGAGCAGGTTTGGTGGAGTCTAGTTAGTTTGTGGGTCAGTCTCCGGGGCTCCTATCTGTGGCTCCTCATTGATATTAGATCATTGAGGCCTTAAGTGACCCACAGATGATCATGTAGAAATGGGGTGAAAGGCTTAGCTGACTTCTGCCCAGCACCCAGGAAGGGCTCTGTGTCAAGTGCTCAGTAGTAGAGCAGCTTCCCTCCACGGGCCACTGTCCCAGTGAGGTCCCAGCAGGAGCCAGCCTGATCCTGAACTGAGTTTATTTGCTGCAATAATTTGCTTGTCTGAAGAGCTGAGATTGTCTAGGACACAGAGCAGCAGGATCTCTGAAGATGGTGGGGCCTCCTTCACTCCCAGGGAACACGGAGGGCGGCTGTTCCTCCCGGCCTTTGCTTTCTCTGTTTCCTTCCTCTTTGCTTCCTTCTGTCCTCCTAAATGCAGAATGAGCTTTTGGTCCTGGTCTCCAACCTTGTATTTTTCCCTCTTATTGTTCCTGAGTGTGAATCTTGGCCACCCACTGGCTTGGGGAGGGTGGGACCACCCCTTTAAACATATGGGTGTGATGCATAGCTTCTTCAATTTGAGTCTGTGTAGGATGATGTAGTGTCTTACACATTCTCCGGGACAAAATCCCCCTCATAACCTTAAAATCACGGGCACCAGGGCCAGAGTCTTCCTCTCTCCTCCTGCTGCCCTGCTCTCGCCAGCCTCCTGCTGTCCTTCCAAGCCTTCACCTGTGACGTGACAGGCCTGGCTGCAGATGCAGTCATGTTCCGGTTCTGCGTAGGCTGCCTGAAGAAGCCGCCGTCCAGTGTCCCACACAGTTGTCTGGAATGTTGATTGTAACAAGCTTTGAGCAGGTCTCATGTGGGGTGTTTTCAGAGGCGGGGAGGAAAACAAACCCGGACTCTCATTTTCTTACCTGGAACACATTTATTACCTCGGGAGAAAAACAATTGTGCTCACAGCTGGAATTGACAAGTGTGTTTTTCTTTTTGCAGTTGGAACAAACTTTTGAGATCTGTTATTTTTCTTCTTCTTGCAAAACGGTCTGCTGTGTTTTCATATCATGCAGTCGCTTTGTTAAGTTCTGGGATAATTGACGGTAATTATTCTTCCTAAGAACAAAGAGGTGAAACTCAGGAGATGAAGATGTGGAAGCTTATCATAGTTCTCCTACCATTTTTTTCTTGCTTGCGATTCTGTACTTTTTGTTTGAAAAACTCATTTTGCCTTGAAATGAGAACAGCAGTTTGCAAGCTCTGGCCCCAAGACATTTGGTTCATGGGGAACCCACTGCAAGATTCTGAGTGCCAAAGGCTCTTCTCGGCTGGTTTTTGTCTGTCTGTGTTTTCTGTGTGGGTGGATCACATTAACCAGAAAGTAGGCCCATCCTGCAGCAGCCCTTCTGAGCCAAATGGCTAGATCTCACTATCGCTTGGTAGAGCTTTTGCCTGTCATCTGCTGCTTGCTTGGTGAATAATTAGTTATTGATCAGGAGTAAGTTGTGCAGAGCTGTCCTTTTGTTATCATTTCGTGGGTCACAGAATAGAACCTAGTTAATAGACAAAGATCCTGTCGATCCTTGTTAATAAATACTTATTTAGAATGGAGCAAGCGGAGGAGTTTTTATTCATTGGTTAACTTGTTTGCAAGTCTCTGAGTTCCTTCTTCCCAGCCCTTCCTCCACCTCAAAGGAGGTCAGACAGGTGACTCTTCTAGTTTAGGTGATAAAACCAAGAGGTAAACTTCTAGACTTCCTTAGTGGCCTTTCATTACAGAAAGATGCTTCAGAGGGATGATCACTGCACCATGTACCTACTAATTCACCTACCAATATAATGTTAAATATATTGAAGACACATTAGTGATGTTTATAGATTTTGAGGCAGTGTTGTTATAGACCTACGTATTTATAATTGTGATGCCTTTCTTAGGGATTCACTTCGTACTCAACATGAAAACCTTCTCCTGGCCTTTTGGCTGGTGACTGTGCAGAACACCCTTTTCTCCACTCTTATTTCCAGCCTTTTGGGACCTTGATATTTACGTATGGCTCTATTTTTATTTCGTTCAGTCTGACAGTCCTTTTAATGAGTTCATTCATTTAAATATAATGTGATTAAATAATATAGTGGATCTGTCAATCCACATTTAAACAAACCAGAAAGAGATTCTCCGAAGGGGAACCCCACTTCCTTGGGAATGACCCTGTTGCGAGGACAGCAGAACGCTGCCCTGGGGGCACACCTGCCACTGTGGCCATGGATGGGTTTAAAGAGGTTGAGGTTGAGGGTGTTTGAAGGACAAACATGACGAGGACCACATCAGACATTTGAAACCTGCTCCTTGGCCATGGTGATTAACAGCAAGCGTGCCCCGAGTCTGAGCTGGACCACAGCATGTGGGTAGAAGCCCTTTTGTACCGGGGCTGCGGTGGCCCTGGGGCAATCAGGCAGCTGGCAGCCTTTCCTGGTGGTTACTGTCAGGCAGCCCTGCATAAGAGCCCTCTAGCACAACCTCCCGGCTGCATTTACTTGGTCACAATGACCCTGTTTTGATTTTGATAGCTCTTACATATATTTTTTTTTTTTATTCCACAGGTTTTAGCTACTGCCTTCTCTTTTAGGCATCATTGGTTTGTCCCCTTTTCTGCTTTTCTTCGCCTACTTCAGGACCAATCAGACTTGCTCTTCTCTGTCCCACTTTCTGCTCTCTCCACATTTAGCAAGCCCTCCGTTGCCAGCCTCGGTGATTGCCGGGGGATCATGTATCTCCAGCTAGAGGGTCCTTCCCATTGCACCATTCCCCTCCCTCCACGCTAATGCTCCACAGAGCTGGAAAATGCAACCCGAACTCCATTCACCCCCTCCTCTCTTCTGTGTTGATATCATCAGGCATTTTCTTTCATTTTAAATATTGTTTTAGTTGTCGATGGACCTTTATTTTGTTCATTTATTTATACGTGGTGCTGAGAATCAAAGCCAGTGCCTCCCACATGGAAGTGCTCTATCTCTGAGCCACGACCCCAGCCCTCATCATGCATTTTAAATCTGCATATATTTTAAACTCCATCAGAAGTTACTGTTTTGTGCAGTCATCAGTCCTCGGGGTGTTAGATTTATGGTAGCTTTTCAGCCTTCCATTCCATTTCCCTCTGGGGTCACCTTCCTTCTGTGGGATTTCCCTTAGCAGAGGTCAGCTCTAGGTGTTGCTTGCCTGAGCGACTCATTTCCTCCTGTGTCTGAGGGCACCTTCTCCTCTCGTAGCCTTCTGAGGAGGCAGCTGTCCCCTTCCTCTGGGCCATGTCCTGTTCTCTTGGATTTCTGTCATTTCCGGTGAGAAGCTTTCGACTCATTCTTACATTTTTGAAGGTGAACAGTGTTTCTTCTGCTGGCTGCGGTTACCATTTGTCTCTGTGGGGTTTTTGCCGTCTCTGTGGGATGATGGGAGAGCTTTGCTTTGAATGTATTCCCTATAGGATGTTTGAACTTTTGGACTGAGGTGTCCCCTGGTTTTAGAAAGCTCAGGCCCTGCCTGTCGTCCACGGGTCTGCCTCTGCCTGCTTTGCGTCTGGTCCTCGGCAATGCAGCTCCGTGTCTCTCCCTCTGTCTTTATCGCCCCTTTGTTTCCCAAACACTCTTCTCTGGAGTTGCCTCCTCTGCTCTTCTGTGTGGTTATTTTTTCTGTGAATTGTCTTCCATTTCACTAATTCTGTCTCTTGTGTTGTCTACTTTTTAGCTAAAGCATATGTTAAAGTCTTAATTTTAGATATTATATTTTTTTTTCTAGAACTTCCACTTGAGTCTTTTTTATAGATCCACTTTTCTACAAAATGTCGTGTTTCACCTTCTCTTTTGCTATCTTCCCATTTCCCATAATTTCGTCTTTCTCTTTTCTTTGTTGTAAAGTACACTAATTGCAGCATCCCGATGTTCTGTTAGCTGACTGCAGGGCTCCCATTACCTGCGGGTCTTTCTTTCCTTGAAGTGGCCATGTGGTCTGGTCTTTTGCTGAGTTGACTGACTTCATTGGACACCAGGTGAATCTGCTGTGATCTTCCAGAGGCGAGTCATCCCCCCTCTTCTGGATTGGATATGGGCCGAGTCCCCAACTCTCAGACACTGTCCTGGGCAAGGCTGTAGGGTCCTTGGTGAGCCTCCGTCTGCATTTCATTTGCCCAGGTTCTATTGTGTTTTGATCCCAGAGTCTGCTGTTATATTGGGCTTCTCATTTTGGCATTTTCCAAGCTCAAGTCATTTTCTTTGAGGACATTAAAAAAATTCTGCTCTTCTGGTAGAAGTGTCACTGTGGTTTTTAGTCTCAGACCCCATGCTGCTCCTGAAGTGGCAAATGTCCTGGGGGGGGCGGGAAGGATTGCAGGCTTGAAGCCTCACCCTGAGTTCTTGCCATTCTGCCAAACGCTTCCCAGCCACCTGCAAACCCAAGTTCATGACTGCATAATTCTAGTTGTTTGGTACAACATTTAAGCAAACATCTATTTGGAAACTTTATTTACAAAACAGATACACAACATTGCAATTTCCCATTTCACACAGAATTCTTTACAATGGAACTCATTTAAATGTAAGATTACCTCTAGGGTAATTAATTATCACTTAGTTTACAGAATTTTCCATTGTACACAAGTTTTCAGGTAGAGTATACTTTTAATTAGGCAGAAAACTAGTCTGTATTAATAAAACATCAGAGTTGCAACATTTTAAAATGCTAATGCATTGCTTTTTAGTAACATAGCAACTCTGAGTAACTTCTAATAAATAATTTATAGACAAAGCTTATTCACAATTAGCAACATATATCAGCATCCACGTTACCAGGGTACAACTTCTTTATCAATTTATTGGATATGCTGCAGCTCTTGAAAATTTTCCAGTAAACATTGACTCTTAAGATGAATGAAGTAATCTTGAATGAATTGTTATGTCATTTCCAAATGGTTGTGCGATCATGTTAGATTTAGCCTATTAAGTGTCTCTTGATTGTGAATTATATAGCATTTGGGTTTAAAGGTAACCAGCAGAAAACACCACATTCACAGGGCAGTCTCTGGGGTGGGAGTAAAGCTGATCCCCATGGCCCTTCCTTCTCCTGTCCACCTTCTGCCCCTCCTCCTTCCGTCCCTCCCTTCCTGTGTTGGTGGGTTTGGGGGTTTGTCAAAGGTTCCACACGTGATAGAGACAGCAGCAGGTGGTGTCCCTGCACAGATTCCCGACCTGACCAACCTGACTCCCGCGCTGGCCGCTCCCCCCGGCAGCCCTCCGTCGCCTGGCGGTCGGCCCAGGTGGCCTTCCCGCAGGCCCCGCAGCGTCCTGTGCTTCCTTGCAGACTCTATGAAGACAAGGGCGAGGCCGACTTCGTGGAGTCCCTGCTGCAGCTCTTCCGCTCCATCAACGACATGATGAGCAGCACGGCCGACCAGACGGTCAGGGTGAAGGTAGGCACCACACCGGGAGGACGCGGAGGAAGGGGTCCCGCGTGGGCTGAGAGGGGCGGTGCACCCTGCAACCCCGCACTTGAGCGGACCGGGGGATCTCCTGGGTGTGAGCATGATCCTCCTCGCCTGCCGAGGCTGTTCCCCTTGGCCCTGGAGTGCTTCACTCTTTCCTTGGCCGGGCTTCTTGCTCCTGGGCAGGAGGAGGTTCTGAATGAACTCTGTGGCAGTGGGGCGTTGATGAGGACGGCTGGACAGCTCAGTGGTCAGGGCGGCTGGGTCTGGGGAGCCTGCGAGGCGGGCAGATGTGCGTGACATTATTCAGACCTCAGGCTCTGTCTTGCCGGTGGTGTTTCAGCTGGGCTTCCCAGGTCCTCGTGTGCACAGGAGGGATGCAGCATGCCCACCATCGTCTTCCCCCCACTTAGTCTTTGCTTGCCCTGTTGTCCCGTGGAACAGCCTCGCTGTGCAAGGCCACCGTCCTCCAGGACGCTGTGGCGTGGGGTGCAGGGAGAGCAGGTGGAGGAGCCCAGCACCCTGTGCTCTTAGGCCTCCAGTGAGGCAACTTTCCTGGCGATTTATTACACAAAGGCTGTGCCATTTGCAGTTTGCTGCCTGCAGTAATTTTCTCAATGAGCGAGTCTTCCGAGTGATTAACTGGTGGCTGTCCCTCCACTGTGCTTTGTAACTGCCCCTTTTCTTCCTTTTTCTTGTCATCTTCTTTTAATGTATGATTTCAAAAATGTCCCCAGGCCTGTTCTCTTAAAAATACTTTGGGCAAGTCCTTTTCCAGCTCAGGTGTTGCCATGCTCTGGGGAACAAGCACCGTGTGTTCAGTCGTCTCCTGGCTGCTGCCACCAGGAGAAACCGCTGGGCCAAACAGGAACACAGTGGAGCTTCCCTCTTCCTCCCAGGGGGTGCCGCGGCCAGGGAGGGCCACCGGGTGTTCTGCGTTAGTCATTCACCATTACAAGAGTCAGTTCTAAAAATTGGTGACCTAGGGAAAAGCCACATGGTGTGAATCTTGAAGTTATAGGTTGGTGATTTTGGCAACTCAGTATTGTTTAAAGCTTCCTTATTGTTCCAGGGTTAAAATTAGCAACGTGCTGGGTACATTTACTACCGCGTCTAGTGCCATTTTAGAAAAACAGACGCATACCGGTTAAGAATAGATAAAAATTACAGGAAGTTTCGTGCCCAGAAGTAATTTTAGATTGCTAAATATATTCTTACATTATTAAATTTGATTGGGCTTGACTTGTGTCTTCCTGCCTCCCTTGAAGTCACATCATTTAGTGAGTGGAAACCAGGAAGAATTTCCTTCGCGGGGTGTTTTTTTGTAAGATGCGAGCGGATCTGGTGACGTTTGTGCGTTGGTGCTGATCCCCCGTCTGCAAGCCAGATGCACGGGTTTTGTTTGGCAGGCTGCCCCCACCCCTGCCACCTTGCTGCTAATTTGTTATTCTATTATTTTACTATAGTTGTTCTGTCACCGTTGGAGATTTAAGGGCTCCTGCTGCGGAACTCTGGTTTTTGTGGCATTTTGACTTTTGGTTTTGCCGTGTTGACGTGTGAATACTGCTGTGAATTGCTTTGCCTACGGAAGGCGTTCTCCAGACTGTGCCGTTTCCTGGGTTTAAATGTTGTTTCCCAAAGGGTGGCCCCTGTTTGCTGCTTTGAATTGGGGGATGTGCTACAGCCTTTGTCTGTGACCTCGAGGCCAGCGTGCCTCTGGTCTTCATGGCCTGGTCTGGGTGACCCGACTGGGGTTTCTGACTGTCAGCACCCTGGAGTCACCTTCGTGGAACAGAACCCACTACTCACAGCCCAGTCATGGGTGAGGGGCAGCTCCAGGGCTCAGGCCTCGGGATGACAGGGCAGAGGAGTTTCCCACACTCGCTTGCTGTGGGACAAACTTGGCCTCCAGTGTGAGTATGCATCATGGCCATTTTCCTTTTGACTTAGCGAAGGTCTCTACTAGAATGGTTTACTTTAGGTGGGAGACTCACACCGTGGCTGATGGAGGGGGCTGCAGGGCGTGTGGACCCCGTTGCCCTCACTCCCTCTACCTGGCAAGCACCCCAGCTCACCTCTGCTTCCCAGGTTCTGGGGTATCCGGTGTTTCTGGAGACAGGGTCAGCCAAGTGCCCCTTCACTGCCCCTCATTTAAAGCCCCCAACCTCAGGGCTACAGCCAAACCCTTTTGGAGACACATTTTTTTGTTGTGATACAATGATGTGAATTTCCCATTCTAAGGGCGCACGTCAGTAGTGTTGGCGTGTCCACTGTTTTGTGACCACTGCCCTCTGCTTCAGAGCTGTTTCTTTTTTCTTTTAAATATTTATTTTTTAGTTGTAGTTGGACACAATACCTTTTTTTATTTACTTATTTTTATGTGGTGCTGAGGATGGAACCAGGGCCTCGCACGTGCTAGGTGAGCGCTCTACTGCTGAGCCACAACCCCAGCCCCTTCAGAGCGGTTTCACCTCCCCACTTGAAACCCCACACCCATTAAAGATCAGAGCCCATCACCCCTCCTACACCCCTGGAAGGTGCCCTCCTGTCTCCATCTCTGCACCTGACTGCCCTTGCAAGCCCGTGGAGGTGGGGTTGGGGGCGTTTGCCCCACGACCAGCACAAGGCCTTCAGCGTCCCTCTGTGTTGTAGCTTGTGCCACTCTCCTGCTTTTTGAAGGCCAGATGGTGTTTATTTGTATGGATTGACCGTATTTTGCTCAGACCATGACCATTGTGCAAACCCCTCGCGCCCCTAGCTTCCATTCTCTTGAACACATACCCAGCAGGAGAACGGCTAGGTCATATGGTGATCTTGAGTTTAGGTTTTGGAAGAGTCACCACAGTGTTTTCCAGTGTCCTGCAATTGTACCCCACTCCTTCTTTGAGGTCTTCTTATTGCATTTGCTTCAGCAGTGGTTTTCAGAAGCTCCTCGGGCTTGATTTCTGCCACACTGCATGGTCACCCGGCTTTCACCAGTGCCACCTGGCCTTCTTACTTCCCTCTGCAGAAGACAAGTCCATGCCTGTACCCAGAGCCACCCCGCCTGTGCTGAGGTCTTCCCGGGATGGCTCCTGGGGGACAGTGAAGCTCTGCCCCAGCTCCTTCCTGACATGGGGAACCAGGCCCCTTCCTTTTGTCCACCTTCATGGACTAGGGCTGCAGAGTCCATGTCCCGGCTGGAAGGGCATAGGGCCTGCTTATTCCCAGTAGAGCTTCCTACCTACACGCACTCTGCGTGTGCATAAAGCCGTGAAGAAACTCTGATGACACGCCACGAAGGTCATGTGAGTCTGAAGGGGAGGGAGGAAGCTGATGGACTGGGCTTGGAGGCCTCTTGGAGGAGGAGACATGGGGTCGTGGCCCTGCTGTGTGACAACAGCGGATTGCAATGCCAGATCAAGGTGTTTGGAGCATTGCAGTCAGGGTGACTCAGTACCTCAAGTATTTCCACCTTCTTTCTGGGATGATTCTGGAGACACTTCACACACCACACCCAACCATTCCTGTTGCTGTGTCTGGGGCCAAGAATTTCAGGATCTTTGGTAAAAGGAAAGTTTGAACATGAGCCATGACAAGAGATAGATTCTTCTTGCATGTGTGAGTGTTATATATGTGTGTGCATGTGTATGTGCCACAGGCATACATGTAGCATGTTAGTGTGAGAATGTTGTATCTATGTGTGAAGATGTATGAGTGCATGCGTGGCTATGTTCTCTGTGCACAGATGTGTGTGACGTGTGTGTGCATGGGCATGTTATGTGTGCACATGTTTGTGTGTGCTCATGCCTATGTGATGTGAGCATGAGTGCTGGATATGTGCCTGTTGAGCATGTGCATGCATGTGGGTGTGCTGTATGTGTTGCTGAAAACTGTTCCTGAGAAGTGCCTGCCCTCCCACATTCTGGCCTTTTCTATTGTCGTCTCCTTTAGTCTATGCTACACTAATGGTTTGCACTAAGAATATTGCTGATTAACAGCGTATTTTATGAACAGCTTAATGGATTTCAGCCCACATTTGAGAACCGATGCCTGTTACTATTCTTTAGGGCTCTTCTCCTGCCTCTCCTGTGTAGTTTATTATGAAAATATTCTCATTAGTTTTTGACTTCTTCCATTGTCTTGTAGAGCCCCAGGCCCCTGGCGCTCAGGCATGTGGATTGGACTGGGGTGAAGATTAATTGAATTCGAGGCCCCCCAAGCTGAGGTTGGCATGCAGCTGGTGAGGGCAACTGTCCCTGGGGAGCAGCCCTCCCTGTCTCTTCCCTTTTAACCACCTCATGGTGCTGTTTCCATCTGGCCTTCTAGGAAGGAGCTGTGTTGGAAATCAGCTATTTTGTAATCTCAGTAAATACAGTGGATGGGTGAGTTTGGCCCTCCAAGAGGTACAGTTTTAATTTCCTCTGACTTGAATTAGTGGTACTTGCTGGCCTTACATGTTACCCCAAATTCTTCATTAGGTGAAGTTTTTGCTGCTTTTTGCCTATTTCTAAACTAGCATTTGGGTTCATGTTGCTTCTCACACATTTGCAAGTTTGGAATTTTATTGTCTTCAGGAAAAATAGTCAGAAGGTACCAGGGTCGATGACAAATAAGGTGGAGATACAGCAGGATTTCCTTGTGGAGGAGATGAGGCTTCTCTCCGTGGCTTTGAGCGGCTGCAAGAGCAGCTCCCCCAGCCCCTCCTCCTAGGCCTACAGGCTCCCTCTTCCCATGCAAGTTGATTAAAATGAGGAGAATCACGCGCCACTTCACCTCTGGGAGATTCCACTCCAGTGTCTCACCCTTACAATTGCCTGCTGGTCTCCTCATTTTGGTGTCTTCCCACATATGTCCACATCTATGTGGACTGTATATTCACATGTATGTATACAGAACTGCCCCTTGGCATCCGCGGGGGTTGGTTCCAAGACCCTGCACCCAAACTTGAAGATGCTCCTGTCCCTCATAGAAAATGGCACAGTGGGGCTGGGATGTAGTTCAGTGAT